CTGTTTGATCGAGTGTCGTACGGTTGACACAATTCAGCCATGTGTGAATTTTACACCGTTGGTTACTTGGTCTTTGTTTCTTTAAGTAGGAAAATTAGTACAATGATACTATGCGGTCTAGCAGATATACCAATATCATTTGGTAGCTAAAAGTTAGAACCCACTCAATCACTCATTATACGACTTATCGCGTACTAGGATATTGTGTAACCCGTGATGCTACTAACCAGTCTATATAGCTGAACTAGGTTGTTGGGATTCGAAACCTCATATAAATAGGCTGCCTTCACGGCATTTTATAAGTAAAGTCCTAAAATAATTATTGGAAAGTAGGCTATTAGACACAAGAAGAAAGACAGATTTACAATAATGGTAACCTGGACGGCCGAAATAGAAAACTTGTGTGTTGTTATACAAGTTAGAATAAGGTGTAAAGCTATTGTCACATTAGAAAATGGGATTCAATATGCTACACATATGACGTCAGGAGTGAAATTAAATGGTTGTTACTCTTACTTTTGGCGGTTTGATGTGACAATATATTTAAGAGTAATGCCAACCAATTCATTAAGTAGCGTCAAAAATAAATATTATTGTAGGATTGTCCTATATTGATCAGAACGCACTCGAAGATTATCTACGAGGACTTCAAAATGATCAACAGGAAGAATTCTGTGTATTTGGTGCTGTTCAAACTCATGAAGATGTCAAGCCTGGTCTAATCGAAGGCGGATTTACTTTGTGGGATGGTAGCCGAGATCTTGTTCATTATATTTTCAAACACTTTATGCAAAAACTAAATGGTAAGAACGTATTAGAATTGGGCTGTGGGTGTGGACTACCTGGTATATTGGCTGTCAAGGCTGGTGCTCGCTTTGTAAGATTTCAGGTATGTAATTTACAGGTATATCAATGCTTAACTACAATGATTTTTCACTATGAATCGCTTCACTGGGAAACGTGTAAATTTGCAGCAGCTAGAAAAACACCAATCATTGCAAAACGCAACATCAACCACTACTTAGTTCTATATAAAATGTTGCTTTCACTGATATTTTGATATGATAAACTTGGGATTTCTGAAGGATTTTCGCACCATGTACTTATCTTATGTGTATTTTTAACTGCTTATGTTTTCACCGATTTCCTCATGTATACAGGACTATAATTCTGAAGTCTTGAAGTGGTGGACAATCCCTAATGTAAATGTCAATTTAAAGTTTCACAATGAAGCAGAAAACCACAGAGAGCGAAGTACTCTGGAGTTTTTTAGTGGTGACTGGTCTCATCTATCGCGCTCTTGGCAGCTGAACAATGACGTGAAGTTCGAATACATATTTACTAGTGAGACAATTTACCGTTCAGATTTGTATGGAAGGCTACATGAAATACTCGAAACCACTTTAAGCCGAAATGGAATTGTATTATTAGCTTGCAAAGCTTCTTATGGACCGGGAGGTAGCATGTTTGATTGGCTAAATTTTATCGAAGATCAAGGTGTGTTTCAAGCTACTGTTTGCGAAACAACAAACTCTGGGGCAATAAGATACGTGTTACAGATGACAAGATTGTAAATTCTCTTTTCCTTTTTGTACATTTACTGTGATCCGAAGTATCACACGAAAATATGTTGCCGTTGTTTTACGTTTATTACGAAAAACGACAGTAAACTGTATCGTAAAGATAACTATCACTCTTTGTATATAATTTTAACGCAATTATGATGTCATTAGATACATTTGTTGAAGCATTTTCAGATGTTGTTTAGCTCAGATTCTTACTTGTATTTATTTTATGCGTACTAGTATTCTCAGTCTATCAGCGACAAGCATCTGAGATGTATGATAGGTTCATTTACCAGTTTAAACCGATATAGGATCCCTACTCGCTTACATTCAATGCATAAAGTACACTAGATATAAAATGTGTTGCATGACAGTGTACGTTAATTATGATCTCAAATAAAGGACAATATAAGGTCGACTACCTTCTCTTGTCTGAACTCAGTTTCCCAGAGCAGATGTTTTGTATACCCGGCTAAGAGCCACCACACTTATTGTCCAAGGGCAGTGATACTACCCAGTTGCCGAGGATTTAGTAAGGTGGGGTGGGAGTCGAGTCTGTGACAGTTGGTTGCAAACCAAACTGTTAAGCCAATGAACCACATTCCATTACCTCCACCTAACCTTAATCATTCTACCTAACTTCTTTCTATTTTCATATCGATCCATCTTGGCCCTGAATAAAAGTATGCGCGAAAAGCAGCGCTAGACTGATACACTAGATAAGGCGATAATAATTGTGGTGAACTGGGTTTCGTGGAATACTATTCATTTGTCTTCAAAGTATTCTTACCGATGCTTGCATAGTCTCTATTTTAATATACACTCTAGATTTTTATGAGTAAGGACTATATGAGTGACGCTTCCATTTGGAGCATATTTCAAGCTGTAGAGATTGTATATTACAGGAAATAAGCAATAGGTTAGCTTTCTAAGCATGAAAACATAAGCACAGAGAATTATTATGAAGATGTGAATGAGGCTGAATTCAACTCTTCGGTCATGTTCGGATAATTCAGCTTTTGTTGTCTTTCAACCGCAGAATTATCGTTGGGTAGGCGTATAAGAGTGAAGTTTTAAAGAACTCGACTTTAACCTGAATAAACCAGATCACGACACTCACTCCAACGTTGACCTGCATAACACCATGAGCTTCTAAACAAACTTGGTTTTATAGCCTGGTACATAAAAGCCGTGGTAGTAGTAAATAATTTCCATAGTAGAATACTTTAATTAGAGATGCGACTTCTGAAGAGTCGATGCAAGGGTTAAGTTTGGATATCACTATTTGCCATCTCGTTGCATAATCATCTTATGAAGCATGGAATTCCATTTATTCACTGATGTATCATGTAGCGTTGCATGAACGATACAAGCGTCTATTTTTAAAACACTTTGGAGTGTGTAAATTTATGCTCAAGGTTTATAGCAAGGTATGCAGACTCAAGTTGTTCAGTAGCAAAATACAACAGCATGTTATACTCCACAATATGCCTTTTACACACTTAGCGCATTAATTCTTGCCTACTTGTTCGCTTACAGATGAGCGCATATAGCTTCCTCCCCCTGGTCCCATTTTTTACTTTATATGGCAGCTACAAATAGTCTCGTACGATTTGCGTTTCCATATCTCTTCAGATTCCCAAAGTACTAATAAGAAATAGATTCCTAACAGGGGTTGAGTACTGGATTACCAATACAGATATCGTAAGCTAATGATCCAGTAGTAGGATGCTCGTCAGCCATGCACGTGGTGTGTATAGTATATCTGGGTTCGGTTCCCGGTCGAGGCAATCTTAAACCACATGATCTACTTGCCTATAGTAGACCAGGAAAAGAAGGAAGGTTAGGAATGAGATTAACAATCGGATCGCATAAAAACAAAAACACCGCTACTGAAGATTCGAACCAAATGCCCTATATTACACTTAGACCACAAGGGATGAAAAATTCAGATATTAGATTGGAAACGGACTTTCATTTTGTAGACATAGTATCGTTTGTCGTTGCTTCGGTGCTAGGGAGTTTTTTCTACTTAGTAGCCGGAGCATATAGTTTCCTATAGTTGCTCCTAGTTCTACCCGATGAAACCTAAGGAGAGAGTTGTGTATGATGACGTTCAGAGTTTGATAGGATAATATTTGCTAATTTCTTGCGGGAGTCCATGTGAATATCTACAAAAGTATTAACTAGTTGGTTTGGCAACACCCCACTCACCTTACTGACGGCTTTTAGTACCCTTCGCAATATAAAAAAAGTCTATTAAGTAGTCCAAGAAAGATTAAGAGGTGAGGAGCAATGAAGAAGAATAGGTAGTATATAAATATCAAGAAACTGTAAAAGTAGACATTAACTGAGCGACATCAGATTATCTTCACTTCATTACACAGAACGTCAAACGAAATACCTTTCTGGAAGCTAACATGATATAGGGAGACCAGGAAACACTTACGGAAATACTCAGTCCAAGGTACTTAATATTTAATTTAGTTTCAGCTTCTGTGTCATCTATGATAGAAACATGCGAACTTACCAGGTCATGTGAGTCGCGTTTGCGTCTGACAGTGAGAGTAACTACCTGACATTTGGAGGGATCAAGTTTCAGACCATCTGATGAGGACTACTGACTAATTCCTGATAAAAGGTCATTCATTTTGGAACTGTCTGACTGTGAAGTAACAGTTGTTATAGAAACAGTCAGATTATTGGCTTATTTAACACAATTGGCTTCGTCAGAGTGAGACAAGTCATGTGAGAAAAAGAAAAACAGAGAAGGAGAAAGAACAGCTCCCTGAGGAATATCAGCTAGCGTAAGTGAAGCAGTGGAGGACTTCACATTGTAAACAGTGTACTGACTCCTAACAGAAAAATAGGAATGCGACCACTTATTAGCCCAGCACTGTGCAACAGGCTTGTTTAACAAAAGAGGCCTAAGTACACAGTCAAAGGCAGATGTGTAATCAAGGAAGGCACACCGAACATATTTGGCACCTCTGTATAAACTAGAGACAATATTATGGTATCTACAATACACCTACCATGTTTATAAGCAAGTTGTTTAGGGTTATTAAAAGCCTTCAATGAAGATCCAAGGTTATGTAAGAACAGTTTTTCTATTGTTTCTAAGAAAGGTGAAGTAACGACAGTGGGTCTAAACTTGGTCCACGTGATGATTTAGGCACAAGAACAATTTTAATGTCCTTCCAAGAAGCAGGTACAATGTTAGTGGAAAACGATTCATTGAAAATACCAGTGGGGGGATAACATAAAATGTCAGCACATTTACTGAGGAAAATAGCTGGTACACCATCGGGACCAAGGGACTACTGGATAGGTTCCAAGGATTTAAGACACTTGAGGATATCGTTTTTGTTAAAACCGGAAAGGCAGTCATTATTTGTACTTGTAGCATTCGAGATCATGACACCAGCTGGAAGACATGTGGAAGACTTATTAGTATGAGAACTTAACGTACTGCATAGCGTAATATTTACCCTGTTATCAGAAATCCAAGCCTACAAAAGAGTTATCAAGTAATATATTTTCCTGTAAGTTTTGATGTGCATATACAAGGATAAAAAAACCGAACAAATATGATTATAGTAACATGGAGAAATCACAAATCAGCTTGTAAAATTAGTGAAGTGTATTATATAAGATTCGAAAAATTTATCACAGGTGTGTTCGTTGCATAGCTCTACACACATCATTATCTGGTATACGAATCCATAGTCCCGTTCTATTGTGATGAGAGAGGCAAGGAGAGCCTTTAAAGGATCATGCAATTTTGTGCGTATTATGGACGAACCAGTTTGAGTCTAGAAATTTAAAGAAGAATAATTGATTCAAAATAATACAGCGGAATTAAGTGGACACTAATACAGCTTTTGTTTAAGTACTTTCAACATGAAATTATATAGTGTATTCTTACGAAAGCGTCGGTGGCTTAGCGGTAGAATGCTGGCCAACCACCACGCCTCAGGTACATCGGGATTCGATCCCCAGCCACCGACTCACTCCTTTAGCTCGCTAAGTCGGTAATACGACCAGTAAGTAGGGAAGGATGGTCATGAGGCTAGCAACCCAATCCCGTAAAAATTTTTAAAAAAAGCACTGCTAACGAAACTTCAAAGCTCTAGTTTGAAGCCGTATGTTCCACTGGGAAAGTAAAGGAATAAAAAAGTTCTTCAGAAGTGATTTCCCAAGTGAGAAATTCTTATAACATAAGAGCAGAGTTTCGATACTGACACACAAGTCTGACTCCCCACGAGATTCGTTTATGGGTCTAATATCACATACCATGACGTTTGCAAGCTAACAGTTGTGTAAAGCTTGCTGTACTAAATTGTCACCCAATAAATACAGTTAAACTCGTCTAAAAGCACTAAGAGAAAAAGGAAGTCACTGTGCAGTTCATATCTCAGTGGGTCTTTATAAATAAGTTTTGCAGTTATAAGTGAAGTGAAAGTAGTGTGAACGGATAAAATGCGAACATTATCATAAAAATGTAGTTAGTTCCGGAATGATAATAGGAATATTTCTAAGTCTGAGACACTTATAGGTTCTTCCTATGAAAGAACTGAACCACCATAATAACCTGTGACTCTTGATGAATTTGACTGCAGCTACGAAACAAGTACCGTTATTGTAACTCCGAAAGAAGATATTTTCATGCTGTTATTCAGAACTACGTTGTACAGTATTGAGTGTTACGGCAGGAAAATCAGTTCTTGACTGGATCCCAGTAGATAGTCGTGTGTTTGCGGTCCGTTAGAAGAAGGAGGGTTGGCGTTACCCGTCGTTGTCTTTTCGTAGTCTCCGCTTACGCCCCAACAGACTGCATTTCGAATGGACTAAAGGATAATTTCTACCAGAAACTGTCTAATTGGTTGCAAAAAGCTGAAACATAGTTATTTTAGCAGACTACTTGAATGCCGAAGTAGGGAAGTTATGCCAGACTGAGAAGTATGTAGAGGTGGTACGACGTATGGAGTTCCCTGACGACGAGCCGACAACGGTGATCGTCTTCTACAGTTCTGATCAGATAATCATCTGTCAATAGTCAGCATTAACTTTAGGCACAAAGAGAGACGTTGTGTAACCTGGCGACCTCCATCACCAAACCAACGCTGGACTCAGATAGACCACATAGCCATAGGATATCGTTGGCGAGGGTCAGTAGAAGACTGCCGCTCTTATTGAAACACATGCGTAGACTCCGATCACGTTCTCATTCGCGCATGTTTATGCTGACATCTAAACTGACGTAAATAACTGTTGGCAGTGAATCAGTTACGCCCCCAATTAGATCGAGAATCTGAGTCCCTATTTAAGGAGGGAATACCGAAAGGTGCATCGACAGCAGTACTCCTCCTGACGTAGCCTGGCACAACATACAGTCAGCTGTAGACACAGCTGTAAAAGCGGTGAATAACCTAAAACCAAAAGTTAGTAGGAGCCATTGGATCTTTACCGCCTCATCCGAACTGATTGACGCAAGAAGACTGATTCCGGAGAGCTCCGATTATGATGAGGAGCGAAAGCTACTCAAACGAAAACTAATAAGAAGCCTTCGTAACGGCCGTGAACAGTGGTGAGCGACAAAAGCGAAAGAGATGGGAAAGGCATCGGCGATTGGTAACACCAGACAACTATTTATACTTACTTATCGGAGAAACAGGTGGTAAAATGCAAATGATAAGTGAGACAATCTCTGAGAAAAATGTCACCACAATCAGCTCTCATAATAGACGGCTGGAACGTTGGAAAGAACACTTTGAGGAGCAGTTTAATTGGCCTAAAGCCACGCTCAACTTACCGAACATCCAACACCTCCCTGAATATAGGATGTAAACACAGGTCCTCCGTCCCTAACTGAGGTTACTAAAGCTGTCACTAGTTTGAAAGGAGGCAAAGCAGCAGGACCTGATGGGATGATTCTAGAGGTGTTTAAGGGCTGTGGGAACAGTTTACTGTCTGCATTAACTAAGGTGTTAAGCATAATCTGGGAATCAGAGGAAGTCCCGTTGGATTGGTGTAAGTCATTGATTATCCCGATATACAAAAGGGGAGACAAGTCTTCTTGTGATAATCATAGGGGGATTAGCTTGACTAATATGGTGGTATATAAAGTTCTAGGCTCAATAATCATGCGTAGACTGAGTGGTGCTCGGGAGGCACAAACACGTGACAACCAGGCGGGCTTCAGACCAGGAAGAGGGTGTAATGACAACACCTTCACCCTTTGACAGATTCTGGAACGTAGGTATACTTATCGGCGTCCAAGAATCGTTATAATTCTTGACCTAAAGGTGGCATTCGATTCTGTCGACCAAGAGGTACTATGGCAATGTTTGTCTGTGAAGCGAATGTCCAGAAAATACATCACATTGATCAAGACACTCACTCTACTCGAACACATGCCGTCAGCCAGGTGAGAGCCTACGGAAAGTTATGACCTGAAGTGGTGACAACTTGTGGTGTCCGTCAGGGATGTCCACCACTATTCCCATTTCTGTTTAATTTTACCAAAGATGTACAAATGGACTTAACCTTAACTGCTGACTTCAGTGACTGACTTGTAACCACCAGGGAATAATCTCGTTGAATTAGAAAATGCAAATGATATAGTCCTCCCTGCTAGGTGAGGAAGACGCTGACAAGATACACCTCGAGCTGCAATCTACGAATGTTTGGCATGCGATTCGCTCATGCTGTCAAATGTAAGGTGATGAGGCTACAGGACTGGAATACATCGAATACTAAGTTAGAAACAGGCAGCGAAACGGTGCAGCGTGTTGACCACTTCACTTATTTGGCAAGTTGCGTCAGCCAACGCCAACGGGTTGATCGCTGACGAAATCTCACACGGATACAGAATGCTAGTTTCGCATATTCCAGTTTACGCTGTCTGGCTTAGTAGAAGTGATATCTGGCTGGCTATCAACCAAAGGACGTGTTTACTGGTCAATAGTCCACTCCATCCTTCTTCATGGCTGTGAGACCTGGCCATTGGGAGTGGAAGACATGAAAAGATTAGCTGTCTTCGATCATGGATGTTCGCAGTCTGTCTCCCGTGTTAGGTGGTAGGGGTATTAGGGTGAGCAATATTGAGGTAAGGCATCGGTCGAGTGCTAGGTAAGGTGGGAGGGGAAATCAATCGACGAGACTGTGAAGCTACATCGACTGAGATGGTTAGGACATGTGTTACGTATGCCTAGTCATCGTCTTCCCCGACTACGGGCAATATTAGCTGACATTAGATGGGTCAGACTGGAAAAGAGTTAACTAGTGGTGGTCAGAACAAAAAATGGCTTCATCAGTGAATGAAATCCACAACAGTTAGTTTAAGCCAGCCACTTAGGAAGGTGTAGACTTCCTGAGTACTTAGGGCTTGAGAATAATAAAAAGCGAAGACAGTTATCGCATCGTTTATTAGATTATAAAGGCCTATGGATAAAATGCAGCGAGGTTAAAGATAAATTCACTACTCCACTTACCCTAAAATAGTAGACTATTTGAATTTTTCTCAGATGATGCAATTGGAGGATTGTCTAACCGAATGTCATCTGATTGCGGTGTGACATCATTATTACAATAGCCATTTTTTTTTACAGGAGTATGACTTGTAGGTCGACATATTAAACACGACCAGGACTGAATCTTAGGTGCTTGTGCATTACCTTTGCATTCTTGCAGACATTCTTCATGAAATGCATGACGACATCTAAAAATAAAAAATGACTAGACTTAGTTGTAAGAACAGGTAACAGTGTACTGTCTCTTCTTGCATTCAGCCATGTACAAATATTCAACAACAAAAAAAGCAGCAACGACATATTGATCATTCGGAGGAAGGGGTGGGGTAGGTTAGGGTAAAAAGGTTTACTGGGCTTAAAAAATATGGGTGGAATACAGGATGAAGCAATATCTACACTTTGATGATAAGGCGAAACCAACTATTTTCACTATTCCCTTAAATACTGATAGATAGAAAACGTTGCAGTTCACCCATTATTATTATTTCCTTTAATTCCTAAAGGAACATAGGGCTTCAGCTGCACGTCTCCATTGCGTAAGGTTCTCTGCTAAAGTTTCCACCCCGCTCCAAGTCTGCCCACACGCTTTCATCTCCTCCTCACATGAACTCCTCCAAGTCACCCTCGCACTCACGACCAACTCGCCGCTTCCCTAACGGGTTCCACTCGAGCAATGGCTTGTCTAGTGATGTCACTCACTTCATGGTTTACTCAGCGTATGGCCAACCAATCCATCTCCATTTCTTCCTACCTATTTGTTTCACAATCGGTTCCTGATTGGTTCGCTCCCAGAGATACCTGTTGCTGATCTTCTCTGGCCGGCGATCTGATCTTGAGTATTGAGCGAAGACAACTGTTAATGAAGGTCTGAAGTTTGTTGGAGATGCTCTTTATGACGCGCTGGCCAAGTCTCTGATCCGTATAGTGAGTAGCACTGACTGACTTCACATTGGAGTTGAAAATCCGGATCTTATATTCGATGCTGAGTGCTGTTGACCTCCACACAGACTTGAGAGTAATGAGAGCTTGTCTTGCTTATCCGATTCTTGCTTTGATATCCTCGTCAGTTTCGCCTGTAGCTATAACGATACTTCCCAGGTAGGTGGGTACGTAAAGGAGCTTGTTTCTTTCAGGTTCCTCCCATTTATGCAGGCTGATTGTTGTCTGTTACTGTTGGCCAGGAATCTTCATTACCTCTGTTTTCTCTATGTTTATTTGGAGTCCTATCTTTGATGCTTCTTCTGCCAACTCACCTGCATATCTTCCAGTTTGTGGGAAATCAGACATATATCATCGGCGAAGTCCAGATCCTCCAAGTTTTATGCCTGTGAATGTCGCAGTTGACCCATAGGGTAAATTATTATCAACGTCAGATTAAGCTTTAACTAAAGAGGAAGTAACTATTTTCCCCCAGGCAACAGAGTTGCTATACACATATTCCCTGTGCGTCAGTGATACAGCGGTTAGGACGCTCAATGACCATGCATGGTCCAGAGTTCGATCCCCAGCCACCGACCCACTCCTTTACCTCGCTAAACCAGTAATAGGTCTGGTAAAGAGAGAAGGTTTGGCATGAGGCTAGCAACCTTATCCCGTAAAAAATTAAAAATAAGCACTGCTACCGAAACTTCAAAGCTCTAGCTTGAAGCCCTATGTTCCGCTGGGAACGTGAAGGAATGAAAAAAATATGTTTCATACGCTCAGTCACTTACTTACTTCTGTGCCAAGAAGTGTCAACTAAATTAAGCTTAGGCCGGAAATTTTTTCTACGTATTCAGATGGAACTACGCTGGCAGCGATCCTTATTATTTGGTTTGAACCACACAGTCTGTCTGGCTAGATTCCGCAGAATGCTAAGAGAATTATTAGTAAGTACTGGTGAAATGATTCAAAATTGTTTTAAGAGTTCTAAATGTATTCATAATCTTCAAAACAATTAACAGTTTCATTCACGGACTAAATATTTATCCACAGTAGTATAATTCAAATTTTGTGTATGCATGTGTACTGTTTAGAAGCATGGCAGCTGGAATTGATGCACCCTTTTTTGAAAGGTGATTTGTCAGTCAAAATACACCTGGTTAAGACAAAAATGAAGAGTTTGTCCTATCAAGTCACTTTGTATCTGAAGACATAAGTCTTTGCAGTGTTGATGGACAGCTTGATAACACAAGGACAAAATGGGAACAAACTTCTATTAACAGACCAACGTGAAGAACCTAGAAGACCTGGATTTCGCGCGTGGGTGATTCATGTTTGATGTCACACAAAATCGAAGACTTACAAGCGAAAACCGACCGACAAACTGGTCGAAGAAGCAGCAAAGACAGGACTCCAAGTGAACATAGACAAGACGGAGGTTATGAAAATAACCAACCAACCAACAACAATAGCAACATTCAGCGCCAATCACCATCAACGGGAGGGATTCGAAAGAGGTTACTTCATTCCCTCACTCATCTAGGGAGCATTGTCTCAACTACAGGAAGTCGGAACGGACGAGGATGTCAAATCGAGCGAGAATCGGGTGGAGCGGGGCGAGAAACACATTCACTCATCAACCTGAAACCAATCCAATCTGGAAATCTTCGTCACTCTGCATCAACAACCACATTGCTTCGGATTTTCAATACAAACGTAAAGTCAGTCAGTTCTTCTATACGGATCAGAATTTGTGACTTGGCGAGTGGGTCACAAAGAATATTTCCAACAGCCTGTTGCAGACCTTCATCAACAACTAATTGTCTTCGCTGGCTCTATACTGAAGATCAGATGGCTGGGCCGGAAAGAATCACCAACAAGAAACTATGGGAATATACAAAGCAAGAACCAATCGCCAACCAACAAATATGCAGGAGAAAGTGTATTGAGATGGATTGGACACTCGCTGAGGAGGCCGCCGCTGGGTGACATCGAGCGCGCGCCAGGCCATTGCTCGAGTGGAACCAGTCTGAAAGGGAAGCGGCGAGTGGGACCTCAGTGCAAGGGTGACATGGAGGAGATCGTGTGAAGAGGAGTTGAAAGAGTATGGACTAACATGGATGCAGGTGAAAAGTACCGAAGAAGACAGAAGCAAGTGGGGACGTGCAGTTGAGGCCCTATGTTCCTCTAGGAACCCAAGGGAACAATAATAGTAATAATCATTTACAAACCAAAAAGTATGTCATGACATATTTTGATTGGTTTATGTATTAAGCATTTGTAATGTCGAGAGTTGATACAGTTTACCTGAGGCTATGATACTTATGTAAAGCAAGGGATAGTGATTCGGTCACATGTTAAACCATCTCACATGAGCTGACCGAAGGTATTTTTAAATTTACATTTTCTTTTATTATAGCTTCATTCCACACAGTATTTTGGTACAAGTATGGAATTTGTAGCATGTGAATATCGGCTGACAATTGATATCAGGTGTGGGTCAGTGTCTGGGGATCAAACCCTGGACAATGTGCATGGTCGGTTAGCGTCCTTACTGCTGTGCCACCGACGCACACGCTCGACCATGTAATTATCATCCGAAGACTCGTTTTGCTGAGCTATCCACTTGATTGCTTTTTAGCATTTAAAAAGATAAGACAATATTACACACACGGTAAAGTAAAGCACAAAACAATGACAAATAAAAACAACTTACTGGAATACTACAAGGCGATTTGGATTCGAAGATTTGTCACCATTGGTTATTACACTTGTCTTCCAGTTTCGTCTAGTCAGTAAATTGTTCCTCCGAAGATCTAGTCCACACAATGAACAGATAAGGATGTGATTACTGAAACCACATTTGTACTGTGTAAATATTCGAAATTGCTTGACAGTTAACTCTTGACCTGCTAACCGTTTGTTTAGCACCATCTGATTTGCTTCGAACTGGCAAGCCGATATAAACTTCTTCACCAGTAAATTAATTTTTAAATTCATTGTGGTTTTTGTACCATCCATCTATTATGGGAAATATGACAAGAAAGTGGCACAAGTTAGAAAAAAAACCCCAAACTTTTTAGCTCTAGAGAAATGAAACACATGTGCGACAGAAAGTTGAGATATTTATAAATTTGGGCATCAAATGTAAAAACACAAATAAGCAGAAGTTTGATAGTTCTCATAAATGATCGAGGTTACAATTATAAGAATATAAGCAATTAAAAGAGCCTCTCATTCAGATGACAGGTTGCTAGAGAATCCTAAACGGAGATACTGAAAAATGATATACATATATAGATGAGCCTATGATCCATAGGGCCCTGAGTCAAGTTATGGAGCGTAATTTTATGCTGATAACCCAATGGTTTCTTTTTTTCTGTGTTCTGAAGTTTCAGTAGCGACAGGATAGTTTTCCAAAGGGTGGGGTTAACAGGCCGAACACACCTAACCTCCTATTTTTCAAGGGTTTTGATAGCACCAAGGCAGCAGCAATCATACATGTAGTCACTTGCTAACGGCCTGAGCTCGTTTACTGGGGATACAGGAACTATATTTACAAGTGATAGGGTTTAGAGTCAGTAGTGGCGACACAGCTTTACTATGTTCTATATTCATCACGATAACAATACTACTCTTCTCTATTTTCCTCCTGCCCTACGGCACTCTACAACCTTTGGTTATAACACATTAACGTCAGTGATTTCTATTCAATACCTCCCAATTCATGTGAAGATATATAATAAGGCAAAGCGGACGACTACGCAATTGAAGCTATAGGTCCAGTGTACAGATACGGTTTATCTGGATAGAAATCAAGCAATATCACGGTTACTTTTGACACTTATTAAACATCTACTAGAGGAAAGCATCACCACGCTTTAATTCTATTAAGACACATGACGGAACAAGTTTTTAATTTCTTTTCTAAAATCATAACCATCAGAATGAGTTAGCCAAAGGAATAATTCGTATACAAATAAATGAAATACTTTCAGGATGTCATTCAAGTCGCAGTTCTCGTCGCATATAATGAACGTATCATCCACGTATCTTTTGCAGAAGTTAAATCCCTTCATAGCAGGTGTGATAGTACTGCTCTCCATAGTAGCCCAAAAAAAATCTGCTACCAACGGACAAAGTGTCGAGCCCATAGCTACCCCATCTCTCTGTCTATTAATGTCATTGTTGAAAAAAAATTGGACATTGAGAGTACATCGAAGTATTACCTCTTTTAGGTATGATGTAGGCATTCCTATGTTTACATTATGTAAGCATATATAATTAGAAATGAAGCGCACAGTTTCATTTAATGGAACATTGGTAAAAAGTCAGCATACATCAAGTGATAACATCGTTTTCCCAGTAACATTATTATTATTAACGCAACTAACAACTAAATAAATCAAATAGCTGACGAAATATAACTGCTCTTTAACTAAATGAAATAATGAGATTAATGATGGCATGCTTGTCTCAAGAAGTAACGGGGCTGTGTTCGAACTCTCGAAAGATTATGGGAATGAACTAGTAAAGAGTACGAAAGTAACACACAAAACGTCTCTCTAGCTATCTTTAAGTTATTCAAGCAGGTATGGGTTTGGTGACAAAGTAAATCAAGTCGTGACATTTTAAAACTTCACTTATATGACCAAAGGCGTGAAATGAATGAGTCACAATATGTGATCCGCTTGATACCATAAACGTTAATGAAGAAAGTAGGCGTAAATGCGTCATGCTATGTACAGTGCTGATTGATCGAGACGAGTAATTGGATACCACTCACATGAACCAATGGTGTTTCTAAGCTCGAGCAAAGACTACGTGTACGCCACTGATGAGCTCGACCGCAAACAGGAAGTGTGCTATTAGAAGTGTGTGGGCGGTTGTTGCTTCCCGGCTGCCCACACCGTGGAAGTTGATCAATTCTTCGGGTACCTGAGACAGAAAGAGGGTTGGTGTCGCGTGACCACAGAGCCCTGCGGACAACTGCTTGAGGCCGGTCACACACGGCCTGTATGAACTGGTTTCTGGGTTTGGTTCCGTATTAGCAAACTTACCGCCAGTTACGGACCACCGTAGGGTAAGTCGGAATGTACAATTTTTGGGGTCGACGTTTTCTAACCCCCTCCCTCCGGAGTGGAGAGACAGCATAGCTGGCATGCTGGTCATCTGAGGGAAACACCTCACTGCTGTTACACCCCTGTTCCCCTAGCAGTATGACTACGCCTACAGACGCGCAGCACAGTGTTAAACAAATTCTTACACTGAGCCGGTAACTGCTTTCAATCTAATCAATGTCCTAACAACCTTTCTAGCATGGTAGGATCTACAGGAACAATAGTTCCAGCCAGTGTAGCTTGTTGGGTCATCGCGATGTGCAAGCCCGACCACCACATCAAAGTAGCAGCAATCGGTCGGATTCAAACAGGCGAAACGGCCAGGCGGTGTTTAGATCATGTTGGTGCGGTCAGCAAGGATAACTAGTTTATATGAGTGATATTCATCTACTCATTTCCATCAATCAATAGTAATTACAGCAATGAAGGTAACTGTACTCTGCAATTGTGCTAAGAAAGGCTGGTTAATATTTTTCTAGCCTATTATACATATGAATGTCCTTACCACTGGTATGGAGGCTGCTCAGTATTCTGAGGAAGCAATATAGTCGTTGTTGATGTTATGGTTTGGATACATAAATATAAAAATGAGCGTATTCACTATCGCAACCCACTCACAGTAAATCAATTGCCATAGACCTTAAACATGAATTTAAATCTGCCTATCTGTGGTAGAATGTTCTCGATGCCCGAATTTACAGGTGTTGAATCATTCATATTACACTTATTCCCTCTCAGTTGATTCGATAAATAAAGCTTCCGTTATCAATCTTTCCCTCCATCCTGTGACATTAGATTTTAAAACTGTCATCTTATCCCATTGTCTATTGTATGGTTGTGTGTAACTGCATGTAGTGCTATAGCTGAAGTATTTTCTAGATTTCTTATCTTATTTGGGTCAACCGATCTAGATTTCGCTGCTAGGTTTTTATGTTCGGCTAGTCTGACTGACTGCCCCTGTTCTACTGGTTTGACCTATTTATTTGACCTGATAATCATTGCAGTCAGACAGGGTATTAGATAAACTAAATTGTTTTGTTTTAAAGACTCCATTGTCAGGATTGATCCTTTAACCGACAAAGCTTGTTTCTAATTGAGTTTGTGGTTGGTTTGAATGCCAGCCACTTTTATTCCTGCCAGCATTATTAAGAATTCTGAGTAAGGTGGTTTCCGAGGTTCCTTCCTTGTATGGAATTACTACTGATGATTTAGATTCCTTATTGTTGGTGTTGTCATTATCTTGTGCATGTTTGACATGCATGTTGTCACTAATATTATTATTTTTATTATCATCACTATCACTACTGTCATTATTTATTTTATTTTTACATTTCCCTATATGCTTTCTGACTAATTTATCAACGTAATTATTAAGTTTCAAGGCTTCTATTACATGTGGCACTTTCTGTCTTAGATTTTCATTGGTACTACTTAGATTTTTTGCTCTGTCACTTAAACATTTCACCAATCCTATTTTTACTGACATAGGATGGGATGATCTGAAGTCCAAATATCTGTTTGAGTGTGTGGGTTACCTGTAAACACTAGTGTTTAACTTCCTATATTCTTCCCTTTTTACGTTGCAATCTAACATTGGAAGTTCCCCTTCCTGACTTTCCAATTCATAAGTGAATTGAATTGCCTTCACCTTTGAATTAATGTGTTCGAAAAGTCTACCTATACACCGTGGTCTAAGTATAGTGAATGTGTCATCTACATACCTCCACCATACTTTTGGGGTGGGGGTGAACGTTTCAATTGCTAGGTGGAAAAACATAGCAAACAAACAACGACAAAGAACAGAGGTATTATTTCAACCGAGGGTTATAAGAAAGAGCAAAATAAACTCCAATTTTCAGTGCGAAATATAAAAGCAGGTATACTCTGTACAAGTGTAAGACTATACCCTGCTGAAGATTGTTGTAGCCACACACAGACACACACACACACACAAAGGGATAAAAGCGAATGAAGGGGACAATATTTTAACAATTCAATTTATACACAATGATGTAACGGTTAGACAACCTGTCAACTTACATTCAAGATATGAGATACAATAGTAGCTGGTGGCAAATAAGTGATGACTAGTGAGAAGGCACTGTAAAATATGCCACTCAAGTAGGCATTTAACACAGGATGATTTTGGAGGAATTCGCACTTCATTAGTAAATCGACTACGCTGAACCATATAACCTATAATAATAATAATAATATAAGAAAGCAGAAGTTAACACATACTTTTACTCAATAAAATGTCAAAAACTTGAGACCAGAATAATTTAGGAGGCATGTATGTGTGTGTACTATACACTTTTTGTTTTTAAATAGGCTGGTGATGGAAAGAGTTGGATGGTGCTCACATGGATAATAATATATATTTTACTGCAAGTATGAGGACCATTTTAACCTGATTATATGATTATATTGTAGGATTCTGGGGAAAGTCATAGTGATTTATAAAAAAATCTTCAAGTTACCAAATTCAGTGTAACGAATGGCAATCAATAAAAGTGATCTGTCCAATAATTTAGAATACTGACTTACTTAATAAGTTTTCAACTTATAACTTTGCACAAAAATGCATCACATCAAGTTGTCACACTCCATAGAGAGCAAAAGTAGAGAAAAAGAGTAAAAGGAACTATAATGAACGCGAGTGTCCGGTAAAAAGAATAATTACCTGGTGAATAATGAGAATTTAATAGATCTAGGAGTTTATAAAGAGAGAACGCATCTGCACCATTGTGATATATACCATCAACGCTTTCAAGACATTGATTCCAAGTGTATCGAAGATACCAACAAGGCGCCTATAGCTCCCCTCGTGACTGGCTTAAGTCGTCAGTTAAACACTGTACGGATCGATGCCATGTTTTCTCCACCTGATCCAATGGGAGAAGAAAGCAGTGACTTGGCGTGCGTAACACCTGTCTTAACCATCTCAGGCGATGTAGCTCCGCAACTTCATCGATTTATTTTGCCTCCATACTTAGCACTATACACCTATCCTCAATATTACTCATTCTATTAGCATTAAACATGGGAGAGGGGAGGCAAATATCTGTGGTCAAATACAACTGCCCTTTTCACATCTATCTATCTGTCACTTTCCATGGCTAAGTCTAATAAGCATAGAAGAGGACAGAGTGAATGGCACATCAATTCAGTCATTACAGTACGGCAAATGAGTCGGTGGTACAGCGGTAGAGTGCTCGGCGACCCACACAGGTGATCCGGGGTTCGATCCCCAGCACCCTACGAGGCACTCGTTTACCTCGCTAAGCTAGTAGTAAGACTGGTAAAGAGGGAAGGTTGGGCAACCCCATCCTGTAAAAATAATCATCAGTGCTATAGAAACTTCTGAGCTTTAGCTTGAAGTACCCTATGTTCCACTGAGAACGTAAAGGAATAAGAAAACAACGTGGCGAAAGTATATACAACAGCTAGTCGGTGAACAACTTTCTTAGTATTATTTCATCACATTATTTGCTATAAAGTTTTTATAGGTTTCATACAACAAGCCATAAATAATCAGAGATTAGTATGTCTTGATTAAAACTGACAATGCTTTAATTCTAATGCGCTTAAAATAATTGAACTCACTTCAATCTCTGATTGATTACTCGCTTGTGTACATCTACGCTGACAGAAGCTTAAAAGACGTTGACTAGATTGCTCAACGTCAGCATAAAGTTGTTGTAGCATTGAATTACATTCACCTGTTACAGGGTTATGCAGTTTACAATTATTATTGTTGTTAAAAGTCAGTTCTGCAGAATTACTTCCCAGTTCATGTTCTGTTTTGATTAACTTTTTCCAAGCTTCAGAAAAAACCTAGAGATATTAAATTAGACAAAGTTTTCAAATATTTCACTTGAGTAAACATAATCTGACTTAGGTATTGGTAGCATTGACTCTACATATAGAAATACTACAGTACACAGGTGTTTTAACAATACTGACCAATAGAATTCAGCATTCAAAGTAGAGAAAATCAATTCTAAAGTAGCTAGGATGTATTCATTTCTCATTTACACTTTATATTTTTACTGTCCAACAGTTAATTTATTCCAATTTTACCTACGATCGAAGTGGTCTGAAACAGGTGCTTAATAAATCAAAACCAACTGTAAAAACAACATGATAATCTTCGGCTACTAGCACAACAACATTCACAAAAAAAAATCACAGAAGTGAGTTAGTCGTTATTCTATTCTACATGATTGTGAGTACCTCTCTTTGTGCAGGTGAGAGAGAAAAACCAAAACAGCAAAACAAAGTTAGTCTAATAATGTGCCATGTTGATTGACTAAAAATCAACCAGCCAATTCAGATTTCTAAGCGTGTTTTTTTTTGTTATCAAAATTAGGCCTTTTAATACTGCATAAAGGGATTGTAATTCACATTCCAGGGTAGATCAGTTAGAGAACCATTGAAAACCTGGACACACAGTGGGCAACTGTTTGAGAGTTTTAGACAGCCCCATGACCTCACCAGGGATCGAAACCCAAGATCTTCAGGTTGCAAGGCGTACTCATACACCATTCCGTCGCTGAGATGGAAGCCCATGGTCCAACAATGCTAACTTTGACAGTTCAAGGTGTTTAGCATGATAGCAAGCCAACGTTAACGGTGAGTATTTGTTTTCACACCCAACTTGTGTGAAGTTAGAATTGCTGAGCTATTGGATTCCAGGCTGGATAGTGTTCACGAGTGCGTTTTTTAAGTTGGTGCATGGTACGGCCGATGTACTCAGTTCCGCGTTAACTGGAATTATGCATGTTGAAGTGACCCAATGCGACAGCTTGTCTTTCACGTTCTGCCTGAACAGTTTCTTGCAGGAAAACGTCAGTCACAGACTTGTGGCGAAGTTTATTTTCCTCGGAGATTTGCAGAGGCGTTTACGAACGATTCCGTCCCGTAGCTGAATGATACACGAAGTCACCATGTAACTCGAAGGTTCTAGGTTGTTAGAGCACAATTACCCAGGAGTGGGTGGGCTGTGAGCCACGCTGTGTGTGTGTGGGATCTAATTTTACTACCCAGCTGCTCAGGCTGAGGTAGATGGAGTGGGATTCGAACCCCGGGAACCTCTGAATGCAGGTTGAGTGTTTAAGCCAATGCACAACACACACGATGGGCTCTCGTGGAGTTTTGGATGGGTATTAACCAAAGAGTCCAAGAAACAGCTGTCCAGTAACTCCAAGGTTTCCAATGGTTCAATTCATGAGCAAAACTGAAACCAATCGAATCTCTGTAAAACCAAAAACTTGATAATTCGAATTTATAAAGATTCCACATGTTGCTACCTTGCAACAGTATATGAGCAATCAGTTATTGAATTAATTTTGTATTTTGTGTACAATTGGAATTCTACTCAGAACAATCATTGTCTTTCTTCTTATGCGAATAAATGATTCCCTATTACATTGTGGTGAGAGCAGGCTGCTAGCCGATTGGTTGGCACTAATCTACGTTAAGGTCTAGGTCACTAATATGGGCCGTGAACAAGGCTGAGTCAACAACCAATCACAGCGAAGTTAACGTGGCAAAATATGATTCGCAGATAGAGAACTCTATTTGTCAAGGAATCCCGAAACAACCAATCAGAAGCCTGCGTTTGTCTACCTAAACAACCAATCAGATGACTGCGCTTGTCTATAATAATGTTGTCTGAAATATGTATAAATACGTGTTGATTTTCATAATAAAACGATCTGTTGCCTGGCCCTTGTCTTCTGTTGTTACATTTGGTGTCGCTGCCTACCGACAAATGAAAAGCCTATACCCTGCAGTTTTTGATGGAGACATATGGATCTTCGGGCAGGACTTCAAGGCTTCTGCGCAGTTGAGTGGCGTTCAAGATCTGTCAGCGATGGAGCTGCTACTTGAGACGCTGCTGGGAGGTCGGGCGAAAGCAGCATATGAAGGTGTGGGCCGAAGTAGGGACGAATGTTCGACAGGGTCAGGCAAACAGTTTCCAAAGTGGGAAGGACCATATATGGTCACTTCGAGATGGGGTTACGCAGACACAGTCGCAATGGCGAACAAGGAGAGGCGCGTGAACGTCAGCGAGCTCCAGAAATGGATACAGCGAGACAAGCCAACGATGACGCCTGCACCAAGTAGATCAAGCCGACTTCAGTCGCACGTATTTGACGGGGGGACGAGTGTGGTGAGAGCAGGCTGCTAGCCGATTGGTTGGCACTAATCTACGTTAAGGTCTAGGTCACTAATATGGGCCGTGAACAAGGCTGAGTCAACAACCAATCACAGCGAAGTTAACGTGGCAAAATATGATTCGCAGATAGAGAACTCTGTTTGTCAAGGAATCCCGAAACAACCAATCAGAAGCCTGCGTTTGTCTACCTAAACAACCAATCAGATGACTGCGCTTGTCTATAATAATGTTGTCTGAAATATGTATAAATACGTGTTGATTTTCATAATAAAACGATCTGTTGCCTGGCCCTTGTCTTCTGTTGTTACAACATCTGTGTAGATGATATTGTAAGTTAACTATTTTTTTCCCTTCAAGTTCTCAGTGGAACACAGGCAGGCTTCAAGCTATAGGCTTGAATTTTCTGTAGCAGTGGTAATTATTTTTACAGGATGGGGTTGCTAGCCAGCCTCATGTCCAACCTTCCCTCTTTATCAGCATTACTTCTGGCTTAGCGAGGTAAAGGAGTGCCTCGTAGGTTGCCGGGGATCGAACCCCGTACCCTGTGCGTGGTCAGCAAGCATCCTAACCGCTGTGCCACCGACGCGCACAAGTTAACTATAGTAGTATCTTAAAAAAAGGTAAAAATTCATTTAAACAGTTTTCATTCAATGATCTGTGCTTTTAAGCTGATTATAGGAATAATTATTCAAACGAGAAAAAAATAAGTTCATGTTTCAGTGATAAAAAAAAAACAAAAACAAAAAGCTAATCGAACCTGTTCATACAACTCCATAGCTTTTGTAAAGTTTCCAGACTTTTCATACAGGTAGGCAACTTCTCTAGGATACTTTTCCACTGATATAATCTGGAAAAGAAATAATAAAATAGATAAAATTAGATAGGCGTCAACTGTTAGTGAAATTTTTCCCTACATTAAACAAAACGAGTTACAACTTCACGATCACTGTTGTCATTATTAATCAAATTTGTTGTGTTCATGTGAATGGTAATTTATAACCTCCCTCCCTCAGTTAAATAAAAATTAATTATAACACAGACAAGATATGAAGCTGAGTAGGAAAATCAAAGTAAAGTTACTAAAATCAATAGTAAAATTGGACCTGTGATCAACTGAGAAGCGTGGTACTCATTGACACTGAACAGATGAAACTTCATATTCATTCAAGTTTTATATATATATATATATATATATATATATATGTATACAAGCACTTAACCACTTAACTAAAGTATTGTTCGAACAGTATCCGAACATGCGAAAAATGACATCACATCCCATTGTATTTACCAATTTGAATGTACGTGTGGGCACGCATATATAAATGGGGAGGACTCATCAATCTCTGCAGGTAAGGACTGGCTTCAGAGCATATTCCTAAATGGCTCCAGAAACAAATGGAATCTTCAGAACCCACTAATGATGAGAGCAGGAGACCTAGCTCCTCTATTGCGAAACATATTATAGAGACAGGACATAAAATTGACGTTAACATATCTTTGAAACCTGTCTATAAAACATGTTCGGGGGAGGGAGTATCCTAAAGTTTGTGGAAGCAATCAGGAAGTTTAGAACATTTTTATGCGTTCAAAAACAATTCGTCATCACACTAAACCTTCTTTGCTAAACTTTGTTTTGATACCCTGGCAGATGTACTATTACCTCTCCTATTTGGCTGAGTGATCTTCACTGTTATTCTGACCTTCAATATGTCCTTTTAACTTGACCTAAGTAGTCTATTTTCTTACCTCTTAACTCTTTATTAATTTCATACGTATATATTCCTATGACAAGTCCGTGTGTGATCAGATTGTTCGAAATGTGTTGCGCAAATACATTGCAACACGATTCAGACAAATTACGTCTACTTATTGCTTTATCTAAAGTATTGTACTTAATTTGTGCTACAAAACACAAGACATCAGTGAGCACGTGCTGATGAAGAGTCCCAATCTACGCCGAAACATCTGTCCAGTACTCTCAGGTTTTCCGATGGTTCTGTAACTGATGTGAACTCATGATGAAATCATCCAATCAATATTCGTTTAGCGCAAGTAAATTGCTATCATTATTATGATTATCTTGGGTTCCGAGTGGAATATAGGGGCTTTCAACAGGACATCTCCATGGTGTCCATGGTGTTATTTGCAGTCCTCTTCAGCTGCCCCCACGATTAAAAACCATAAGTTCTCATCTCCTTTTCATACAATTTCCTCTATGTCACCCTCGGACACCCAACTCGTCGTTTTCCACTAGGGTTTTACTAAAGGGTGAGGCGCACAATGTCATCCACCGTCATCCCCAGAGTGCATCCTATCCAACTCTATTTTCTTCGGGATATTTGTTGAACGACTGGTTCTTGGTTGGTTTGTTCCCGGAGTTTCTTGTAGCCAATTCTTCCTGGCCAGTCATCTGATCCTCAGTATCGGGCAAAGGCAACTGTTGAGATATAAGTGTGCATCAGACTGTTGGAAATGCCGTTCATGACTCACGCAATGAGTTTCTGAGTCATACAATAGAACTGACTTAGCAGTCATGTTGCAAACCCGACTTCTCTTCTTTGTGCCACACTAACGGATAAAACTAAATTTTCGATTTACCAAAAAAACCCTGAAGTTTAGAAAATGTCGTTTCGCTATCATATAATTTATAAATTGGACATTTGTTTCTAACACTGTGCTCAAGGAAAACTGAAAGGATGGACAATCTGAATCTTGAATTCATTCCACTTCTCACGCATCTTTTCGGACGACTTCAAATTACCCTATGATATGAATATTAAGTAACAAGTAAGAAATTTGTTAATTTTCACTTCTATGCAGAAGTCTAATAATTACAAGCAGTTTAACGATGGCCTAAATACATTCTGTAGTATTCCAAAACCGCAGTTATACCTCGTTGGTGCCATTGGTTTAAGAGAGATATTATGGTAAGCCATGATATTAACTCATTATATACTACCAATGAACCACCGACGTCGTCGTCTCATTATATACTAGTACCCCTATTACCGAAAGTCTTGATATCATTTCCAGTCTACTAGAATCAGATACAACACTATCACAGAGATGTTCACTGGACACCACTGTAATAATTAAGAGCTTAAAATTCTGTCTAGAAAGTAATTATTTTACATTTAAAGGGAGTTTATATAGACAGAATAATGGTGTTGCTATGGGTTCACCAGTCTCCTCAATAGTCACCGACCTTTACATGAATAAATCCGAAAATAATATCTTTTAAAGCATACTCACTCCGAAAATATGGTTAAGATATGTGGATGACACTTTTGTAGTACTAAAATGAGATCTACACAATTCATTTCTGGAGAAAATAAACTGTGTATCTCCCAAAATCCAGTTCACTTCGGAAGCAGAATCAGACATCGGTGAACTACCATTGCTAGACTGTCTAGTTAAGAGAAAGGAAAACGAACATTTTAGTATATCCATATTCAAGAAGAAAACCCACTCCAATAAATATTTAGACTTCAAATTATCATACCCCATCAGCGGGAAGGTAGAGAGCTAGAGAGAAATCAAAATCAGGGGAAACGAACACCGTAGAGCCTCTGTTCGACCACCGAGAAATCCAATTAAACTAGAAAAGCTTGAAAAATCATCAGCTATAGGTGCGCATACTATAGAATCAGGTCACGAAATCGACTTTGACAACATTGAAATAATCCAGAATAAGACTTCAGAAATCACAAAGAATGTTTCACATCATCAGAAACACTTCATATAGAATGGAATCCAAATTGCTTGGTGAAAAGGGATTTCTTTTAATCCTTCACGTTCCCCAGTGGAACATAGGGCTTCAAGCTAGACACTTGAAGTTTCTGTAGCAGTGTTTATTTTTACAGGAAGAGAGGTTGCTAGTCTCATGCCCAACCTTTCCTCTTTACCAGCTTTTATCAATGGCTGAGCGAGGTAAAGGAGTGCCTCGTCGGCGAGCGTCCTAACCACTGTGCCACCGATGCACGATGAAAAGGAATGATGCACTGAAGCAGAATTTGACCTGGTTACAACACAGCACCCTCCCCCACAAAGTGACAAAATGAACACGAATGTGACAAGCAATTTCATTATGTAGACACATGCTGCTTTTATGATTTTATACACTTATCAAATCCCATAATCTACACATGGTTTTGTTGTCTTTACCGATTGGCCAATTTGACAACAAGGTAAAAATTACCCCATGCTGATGAATGATGATTAAGTTTATATATATATATATATATATAAGCTAAGATTTTGTAAATTCTAGGTTAGTAATACTACTTTGATAAAACTGTTGATGGCATTAAATAGCGAAATGTTAGTGAAAACAACGATATCGTTTTCAAGTATTGGTTTGTAGGGATTTGATTGGTTTCAGGATTTCATCATGAGCTGACATCAGTTAGAGAACCATTGGAAAACCTGGGAGTACTGGACAGCTGTTTTGTCCTAGTTTAGGACTCTTCAGCAGTACGCACCCACCGGGATTCGATTTGTTTTTCATTCACTCATTGGGAAGTAGAAAAAGAACTTTTATTATAATGAACATCCCACATACCGTCTTCAAAACATTTGAATGAAGCAGTTTGATGTTTGTGTACTATACATAAACGGGGATTATGAATATACGGCTAAAACAGCAGTGTCTGACTTTCATTACTCTACAAGAATATCTGACCAATGTACACCTGTTTATACTTCTGAAAGGCATATGTGCAAAGGTGATAAAAATGAGTCCTTTTATCAAATAGAAAATAATAAAAGAAATGGAAAACGAGAAAGTAACAGCAACAACAACAACAACACAATGAATTGTGTAATGAACACACAAACACACACACATACCCTTAATACAAAATCCACGCGATAGTCATCATACGATTCTAGGAAATTTAACAATGCATCAGAAGAGGATGTCAGTCCGTAGCAAATTAGCAAGTTGATGTATAACTCCATAACATCCATGCTACAATTTTTCAGAAATTCTTTCCAGTTATTAGAGACTGTAGCTGTATCGTCTTCATGTTCGTCGTCATCACCATCATCATCATCTGAAGCATTAGGCGTAGTTCCTTGTGAAACTTTTCTTTGACACTGACTGCAAATAATTTAGGCGATAAATTAATCAGTTTTATTTGGAAATGAAAGACTTGAAGGCAATACACACACACACACGATATTTACATAAGTATTAAAACGTATCACTACTTTTAAACACAAAGTGTTCATACGTCTCTTTTTATACAGGCCACCAGATCATGTAGGATGGATGACTGAAAGGTGGTAAAAAGTCTGTACATATTTGTCAGATTCATAACGATCCACAAGACAGGGACTCTAGACCTAGGTTTCGTAGTTGTTAGCACTCGTCAGCAAGGTGTCTTTGCAACCTTGAGGAGACTCATATACCCATTCTGATATACGAAACAACATCACTCAGTACTGAAGTCAGAGAGGTTACCATTGAGTTGTTCGGGTTCTCTGAATAATTCGTCTACTTACGTCATCTTTGGAATTATATGCTAACTGTACTTTCTATCGATAACTTGAAGTCATTGTAAAAAGTAGGTTTAGAAAATTTGTACCTTATAACTGATTTTTTTTTTAGCATGTAGGTGGTTGAAGAGAATCAATGAAATAAAACCAGCTGGTATTATCCTGCAAATATGTTCGTACTATCTTTATTCAAAACAATAAAGGTAAGCGGTTGTATGAATTCTGTTAGCAAGAAACCTAGGTTCATGGCTTACTGACAATGGCACCCCCCAACCATTTAACAACAAGACGTTACTACTATGTAAAAATAATAGTAGGATGAACAGTTATTAGCATACCGATATTTGAAATATGCTCGTAAGATTAGATAAGTAGCACGCTGGTTGGATGAATTTTCTTTCACATAACTATTGATGAAACCAAGCAGTTCAGATATTGAAGCATTTGTCAACTTGAATAATACTTTCAATGTTCGGTCTTCATCCCAATCAGCAAGAACCTTTTTACAAGTAAAAAAGAGACAAGTAAACATATGCAAAGTTATTTGCAATTATTATTTCATTGAAAAACTAGAAGCAAAAACACACCCTATAACAAATATGAAACGAAATGAAGACTGTGCGCAAACAATGACTAGATGTCTTAGGGACTTTGAATGTGAAGAAATGAATGAGTCAACGTGACAGTTTGCATTTTACAAGAGTGCATCATTTCAAGTTGTCTTAGGCTTAAAGCAAATAGAAATGTAATGGTACTCCAGTAGATGAACATTGGTCCGGAGAGAGAATGTGTATGGCGAAGGCTAATGAAAAATTATAATTATAATTACTGTTTGGTCAGGAGTCTGTTTCCACTGTCTTTTTAACATTCTGAGAACTCCGGCTGGACACCACAAGCATAGCTGACGTTGCTCAGGTTACTCCTACTTCAGATAACATCGGTCATAAAAGAAAGAGGATGACTTGAGATGAACGGAACTACTATAGGAACTTGTAATTAGCACATTCATTAGTGATAACAACAAAAGATGAATATGAAGATATTAGGAGAACACTGATAGTTACCACCATCATCAGTTACTGCTTTTAATGTGCGGATCAAATTGCAGGACTTCGTGTCACCACTGAACAGAGCATAGAATGATAGTCAAATCAACCTCAACTGTATCAAATTTGAAAAGGCTTCCGACAGAGATGACCTCCATTTCATCTTGTTCATTTTAGCTGGCTCTACGACAATCCATAAGCTTTTATCCCCTTCTCACACGACCTCCTCAAAGCCACCATCAAACACCCGACCTGCCGTTTTCCATTCAGCTTACGTGACATGGCATTAAATTATCTCCTCAGTGTTGTGTCAAATCCATCTCAATTCCCTTGAGCATATTTGTTGTTGGTTGGTTAGTTGCCGAAATTCCCTACTGCTTATTCTTTCTGACCATGTGATCTTTTCAGTATAAAGTAAAGTCAGCTGCTGATTAAAGTTTGCAGCTTATTGGAAATGCCTTTGGTGGGGTGCGTGTGAAGTCTCTAAACTCCACAGAAGCATTAACTTCATGTAAGTGTTGAAAATACACGAGTCTTGCACCTTCATGCCTCTTGATTCTATTTACACTAGTCCATTAAGGAGTAAATATGCGAAGTAATGTATCAGGCAGAAAGTATTCACATAAAATATGAAAATAATAATAAATAATACAATTTAATTACTTCAGTTTGTTCAAAGCAAATAGACAAAAGATTCTTAAACTGTTCATTATCACTGCTGAATTCCTTATTATCATGGCATAGACTGCGTTCCAAATACTGGAAAATACAACTGGCTAGTTTGACTGCTTCAGCGTCTGAATGGATTGATACACTTGCAGAAGGGTGGTCATTGCGTTTATCCAGGATACGATTCTTTAAGCGAAGTATTCGATATTTTAAAACAAGAAGTTCATTACCACAAGTATGATGGATGTGTTCACAGACTTTGTATCTACAAAGGAAAAATAAAGTGGCAGTAATTCTCTTCACAGTAAGTAACGGTTAAACAATATAAAGCAAAAAATAATCAAATTTATGATTGAGAAGAAAACGATACTTTGCATCATAACGCTTAGTCATAGAACAAAGTTTCTCACTGAAGAAATTATTTCAGGAATTCAGTTATGCCTCACACCTCTTGCATCTTTAAATTCCAGGGCAAAATATATAGACAAACAGAAGGTGTGGCAATCGGATCACTGATATCCCCTATCGTAGTAGATATTTTCATAGATAGCTGGGATAATATCGCTGTTAATACATTTAATCCTACTCCAAAGATAATATGGTGGAGATATGTGGATGACACTTTCTCACACAGTGTTAAAAACAGAACATATCTCTCTCTAGCTTCTTTACACGCACATACAAACTCACAAGTTGATGGAATAAAATTCACATTTGAATCAGAAAATGAACAAGGAGAATTAGCTATGTTAGATTGTAAGATAAAAAGAATAAAAGAAGGCAAACTACACACTAGTGTTTATAGAAAACCAACGCATTCTAATAGATATTTAGACTTTAATTCGTCTCATCCTTTAACTGTTAAGGCAGGCTTAGTTAAGTGTCTAACAAACCGAGCAGAAGCACTAAGTAGTTCAAGAAAAGATCTAAGTGATGAAGTGAAACAGAGAGAAGAAGAGTTGATATCAAATAACTATCCCATAAAATTCATTAGAAATATGAAAAAAGGTCAAAAGTAAAAAAATAAATAAATATGAAACTAGTAATGATAATATAAATAAGACAGAACATCAGGCATCTACACTCGTTTCACCTTATAAGGAGGGAGGGGACATCTGAGACTCTTCCTATGTAGGATTCCTAATAAAGCAGGAATTAGGCTGGTGGCATTCAAACCTACAAATTCATTCAGGGACAAGTTCTGCATGCTTAAAGTCCCTGTCGGTGGACCCAATTAGACAAAATATTATAATTTACAAAATACCTTACACTGACTGTAAGTTAAGTCAACTACATACATAGGACAAACTAGTAGATCGGGAGTAATCAGATTGTCGGAACATAAGAATTTAGCTAAGGTAAGAATGGTTGACCCCGAGAAGATGAGTAATTTAGAAAAAAACTCAGCACTACATTGCACTGCTGAGCAAAACACACCTCCTTTGGTCGTTAGCCAGCCAGATATCACGTCTGTTAAGCCAGAGACGGCGTAAACTGGCAAATGCGAAGCTAGTCCCCTGTATTCGTGCTGAGATTTCGTCAGAGATCAACCCGTTGGCACTGACTGATGGTACTTCCCAAATAAGTGAAGAGGTCAACGTGCTCTACCACTTCACTCCCTATTTCTGAGCTAGGAGTCAGTGCAGCCCAGTCCTGTAACATCTTACATTTGGCGGGAGCGAATCGCATGCCAAACATTAGTAGATTACAGCTCAAGGTGTTCAGAAGACCGTATCTGCATTTTGTCAGCGTCCTCGCCTAGAAGGACTATACCGTCTGCATATTCTAAGTCAACGAGATTATTCCCTGGTAGCAAGTCAATCCCTGAGTCTCTGAAGTGAGTTAGGGTTAAGTCCATTAGTACATCTATGATGAAGTTGAATAGAAAAGGGGATAATGAGCATCCTTGACGGACAGCACTAATCGTCACCACTTCACTTGACATCTCGCCGTAAGCCCTCACCTGGCTGCATGAGTTCGAGTAGAGTGAGTGCCTTGATCAGTGCAATGTATTTTCTGGAGTATTAGTTGTGAGAAGAGGATTTACACTACGACTTATTCGTAGCAACTTTTATATCATACACACATACATATGTGAAGTGCTGATAATATAAGCAAAAATTCATTACATTAATATAAAATAATGATTTTGGAAGCATATGTGTAAAAAGAAAAACAAAAAATAAAACAAAACAAATGAAAACATTTTTCATACAATGTGAACTTACAATCCTATTTCAGAGCTTTTAGAAACACACTGTTCTAGGTGTTTTAATCGTCCTGTTTCAATTGACTCGATAACTGCTGATTCGAATTCCGTGAACAGACTTTTAGGCAGTTTATCACATGAGTCACAAACTCGTTCAAAAAGCTGATGAAATCACAAAAAGAATCAGTAGGATGAATATTCAAGCAGCATAAACACAGGTGTTTTTTGTGTACACCATCTTACTTTACTTTACTTCGGCTATCCCCTACGGGAGGATGAGCCGGCTTCATGAACATGAGTTCATGAAGTTTCATGGGAATCAGGTACGAGTGATGTCCCCAACATCGCTCGGCCTTTTGTTTGAGAGCGCAGCTCTAGCCTTTACACAACCAAGTGTGACCTACAAGGCAGTAGGAGTGGAGTAGGGAGTCCACTATCCATTGGCAGCCGGTGACCGGAGTCCGGTTCATACGCCTTTTTGAATGGGGCAAGGTATCCAGGGCATCCAATAAGCCCTTTGTCCATACGTCTGCCGGTGAGCTCCAGTGAGCTTCACACGCCAGTCGCTGGAGGTTTGGAATCAGGGTTTAGCCATCTCCCCTAGACTGTCATCCAATGGACAATCAACCCGGTGGAGAGCGCCGGGCATCCGCTTTTGCCCTCTCACTTCGGTGAAAACACCTCCGCCACGTGAAGGCAGTGAGTAGGACTTTCTCAGGAGAGGCTATGTAAGACGCCCGGTCATATGGGAGCATTTCAAGAGGTGTACGGAGGGGTGGCCAACCCGAAGCGAAAGGCACCCACCCCCGACCATCCTGAGGCTTTGGAGGCCAGTCATCACTGTGATATGAATGAAATTCATCATCAAGTGGCAAATTGTGAAAGAAAGCAAATGGAGAAAAAAAAAGTGTAGGTAGGTTTCACGATATCTAAGAAGATCTGGGAACATGAGATTACAATACGGAATTAGTACTTTGTTGTGCCAAACGAAAAACAGAATGAGTTTGAAATACGAAAGCATATTCTGGTTTTAGAAACAGGAGAACTTTATCAATTTAATTCGTTAGGAAAAAACTATACCGTAGCGGAAACAACATAGATAATGGAATAAATTCAACAGTTCCACAACTTAATTGATGACATATTTACTCTATGAATCTCTTTTTAAGATTTGCAGGAATTCGATATAAGACGAGAATTTCAGCACTGTGAAAGAGTATAATTCCGCCACAGAACAATGTTGTTGATTTTTTGCTTTTTTTATTTCCCTTACATTCCCAGTGAAACATAGGGCGCTTCAATCTAAAGCTCAGAAGTTTCCGTAGCAGTAGGGTTGCTAACCTCCCCCCGCCCCCCCCCCAACCTACCGTTTATAACAGTCTTATTACTGGCTTAGCGAGATAAAGGAGTGTGTCGGCGGCCGGAGATTGAATCCCGAACCGCCTGCGTCGTTGGTGAGCATTCCTATTTCTGTGCCACTGACGCGATAGAACAATGTTAGTGGATAAAAAAAACACACACACAATAACAAGGTAAATTTCATCACTAACTAAAATTAGTTAGGAAACCACTGAAAACCAGAAAGCACTGGATAGCCACTTCATTCTAGTTTCCAAGTCTTCCCGAGAACACCTAAATGACCCAACCAGAGATTGAAACCAGAACATGTCGGTTACGAGATGATCACGTAGCTATTCACAATATTAGTGGATCGTAATCGAATGGATCATGAGTCCCAACTCCCGCCAGCTTGTAAAATAGCTTCATCGCTAGTAAATGTCACTGGATATTAGTGGTCACCGTCCATCAAATATCAAAGACGACAAAAAAGATTAACCAAAACCAAAGGATTAAAACCATTACAAGTGCATTTCTCAGTGATATTACGTCCTCTTTGAGGATTGATAGAAGATTTGTTCCAAGAAGAGATTTCAGTTTTTCCGTAGATGACAAGTAGTGGAATGAGCATGTGTATTTTTAATAATAATGATATTATTATTATTATGCCATAGATTAAATTTAATCCTCAAAGAGGACGTATTATCACTGAGAAATGCACTTGTATTTGGCACGAGTTAGCTAAATGAACTTGTATTCCCAGCAAGTGATGGTTTACTCAGAGTTTGAAATGATAAGTCCTAGGTTCACGTCTCAGTGGGAATCACACCATTCACTGTAGAGACTGGTACATTTAGCTGACGAGTTCGAAAAAAGATGACATGATAATCTCCGATCCTACTGCTAATCAACATCAGACAAACAGTATGATGTTCATCATCACACATCGTTGAAGTATCCGTACTAATAGACGATAATTATTTAGCCTTTTCTTTCTCTTAAAAAAGTCATTAAACAGAAGAGTCTCAAAGTCGCCTAAATTCACTACTTTTGATCACTGCACAGTTAGGCCATGATGGGGGAAATGAAAAAATAGTGACTCCAGGTGCTTATACAAAGTGTGTGTGTGTGTGAGCTGTGATAATACATCATTAAAACAAATTTACGATAGCCACTTTGTGTGTGTGAATAATACGCTCTAATTATTTCAAGGGGGAATCTGAACAGCATTCTGGATAGTCGAGTTTCTAACTTCATATTCGGTTGGACGTTTCTATCTACGGACTACTGTCAGTAATAAAGTCTACAAATAACCCTAAGTGTATAACTTCATTCGTGCACATCGATTTTATTTGACACAGATTAAAGTTTTCTATAGTTTGGTTTGTTAGGATTAGTTATGTTTTTACGAGTTGATCACGGATTGATATCAGTTAGAGAACCATTGAAAATCAGCTGGGAGTACTGCCAGACAGCTGCTGTTTCATCCAACTAGTTTGGGGATCATCGGAAGTACGCACCCACTGGGATTCGAACTTAGAACCTTTCAGCTACAAGGCGAGTTCGTATACCATTCAGCCACTGGGAACTGATTCAATGGTTCATGAATTCTAACTTTTACCAACTCGTGATTTAGCGCGACCCCAACCATTGACGTTGGTGGGACATCCGTCCATACACGTGACATCTAATTGGACCTCACCGGAAGGTCCTGGGTTCGAATCCCAGTGGGTGCGTAATGCCGATGATTCCCGAACTAGGATTAAACAGCTGCTGTCTGGCAGTACTCCTTGGTTTTCAATGGTTCTCTAACTGATATCAATCCGTGATCAACTCGTAAAAACAGATTAAAGTGTAATATTATAAGGCTTAATTTACTAATAATAAGAATAAGAAACTTTACTTAAAAAGAAACACACGAAGTAGAACTGAACTGACATTACACACCTGGTAAATTAGATTGTGATCAATGTTTATTTCTTCATTGTTTTTTGAGCTAAGCTGATGTATTATAAAGATAAATATCCGACAAGGTATGCTAATGTCAATCACTTGCAGCTGACAGTTCACTTGAGATGATTGTTCCACTGCACCATTCACATTCTCATGAGGCCTTCCATTAGATGTTGGTGAGGATAAAGTTGATGGTGACAGCGACGTAAGAATAAGACAGTAATAGAGACGTTGACGTCTTGATTGACTGTTATAGAATTTTGAGAAAAAGAAGAAAACATAATAGCAATCACGATAACTGTGTGTTAACATAACTTATTGCCTGGAAAATATTGATATATGCGCAGTCAGCAGTATGAGAGTATTGCAGGGGAATTTCAAAATATCACAATAACCAACAGACACCTAGTGCATCGGTGGTTCCATGGTAGAATATTCGCCAACCACGCCTCACATAGTCTGGGATTCAATTCCAGACCCCCTAGTCGGTTCTAAGCCAGACAAAGAAAAAAAGGTTGAGAGTGAGTCTAGCAGTCCCACCACGTAAAAATAAACGTCATTGCTACCGAAACTTCAAAGCTTTAGCCTGAATCCCTATGTTCCACTCGCAACGCAAAGGAATAAAATATATAATGACAGACACCTATTCATAATAACAAACATAAAACTGACTGTGAACATTGACTATGATAGTTAGGAATTTTTATTGACAATAAACTGAGATTTGATTAAAAGCAGATCCCAACGAAACAAGGTGTTTGCGCACTTTTAACTGTCTTTTATACAGAATAGAACATCGATGAAATTTCAATAAAGACAACAATATGCCTTTCGAAACTAATAACTACTTTCTGAAGGATGCCAAAAAGCAGGCTATATTGTATTGTTACCAGTGAGCTGGAAATGTCAGCAAACAAGATCGCTTTAGCAATTGAAAACCCAGTACACCGACTGAATACTAGTATGAAAGCATTTATTGATGTTTCCCAGGTAGACAAAATATCATGTTTAAAGTAGAATTACCGCAGATGATGAAATTTCTAATTCAGTTGGAATAAGACGGATGCAAAGATTACTACAGTTGACTGACACAGTAAAAAAAACTAGAAGACTCCTATGGTCTCCATTTTGTGGGAACAAATCGCTACATTACAAACAACGAATCGAAAGTATGCTGTCTGGTTTGGAGAATCAAGACACTAAAATGCATGCGTGAGTGTTTAGTTCATCTGAAGGTATTCAGTTTTGAAGTAACACTTGTCAACTTTCTGCCTGCTTATCATCCTTTCTTTGTTCGCAAAGATTCACTTGAGCCACCTCTGGCGCCGTCGCGACGTTAGCCTGGCTGTCAAAGGTCGGGTATACAATGCTTCGGTGCGGGCTCCGCTGCTCTACGCCTGTGAAACCTGGCCTCTCCAAGCTGAGAATGTGGGGCGACTCTGCGTATTCGATCATCGCTGTCTCCGCAGGATTGCTTGCGTTCGATGGCATCATCGCGTGAGTAATTCTGAGGTTCGGCGGCGTGTGTTTGATCACAGTGGAGATCACCATTCACTGAGTGTCGTCATCTGGAAACACCGGCTCCGGTGGCTTGGACATGTGCTCCGAATGTCATCCCAGAGGCTCCCGTATGGGTCTCTGTTCGTTAGCCCTGGGACGGGATGGAAAAGGCGGAGAGGTGGTCAGTCCATGACGTGGCGTCGTGGGATGAAGGATTTTTGTGCTAGATTAGCATCGGTTGGTGTGTTACGACTCCCTGGTTGGGGTCCGAGAGATAGCTCCAATCGATGGCTCGAAATGTTATCGGATATGGCCAAGAATCGTCGGTGGCAGAGTGGTTAGGACTCTCGCCGACCATGCACATGGTCCAGGGTTCGAGCCCACCTGATATCTAAGGTCGGCCTGCAAAATTTGGGCTACTGGTATCACATGCTGAGAATTCCATACCTGTACCAAAAAATACGGTGTGGAATCAAGCGGTAATAAAAAAAATATTAATGGCTAATGTGTTGCCCTTCCCGATGATAGTTAACGAACACTGTTTGAACTTGTTAAGCATGAATGTCTTCCTTACAGATGAAGTTCTTTATCCGTTCTCTACTTATATATTTTTTTCTTTTCCTTCCTTTTTTTTTCTTTTGATCTGTGTTGTTTTATTTTTATTCTGTGGTGCATTCTTCTTGGTGCCATATTGTATGTTTTTTATGCGTTTAAATAAATAAAATATATAATAAAACTTGTAACAGAATTCAAAAATATAGTTCAAATGAAAGAAAGAAATATATTTCATTAGTTAACGACAATCCGACAGTCAGCAGGAAATGAGGAGACAGGCATAAAATGGACACACGCAAAAACTTGGAGAATCTGAACTTCACCGATGATATATATCTGATCTCTCACAAAATGGAAGATATCCAAGTGAAAAGCAACAAATTGGCAGAACAACCGTCCAGAGAAGATAGGACTTCACGTGAACATAGAGAAAACAGAGGTGGGTGATGAAGATCCCTGGTCAATAGCAACAGCAGCAACAACAGACAACAATCAGCATAAATGGGAGAAATCTGAAAGAAGCAACCTCTTTTACCTAGGGACCTGGGAAGAGCCGTTACAAATACAGGCGGACAGAACTGGGGAGGATATCAAGGCGAGGGACGAGAAAGCAAGGCAAGCTTTAATTACTCTCAAGTCTGTGAAAGAACAACAGCACTTAGTATGAAAAATAAGATCCGGATTTTCAACTACAGTGTGAAGTCAGCGCTACTATACTGATCAGAGACTTGACCAGAGCGTCATGAAGGCCACTTCCAACAAACTACAGATCTTCATCAACACCTTTCCTCGCTCACTACTACTCAAGATCAGATGGCCAACCAGAAAAGATCAGCGACAGGGTGGGATCTCTGGCAATGAACGAACCAAAGCAGCAGGGACAGACTGTTCGAAAAATATGCACAAAGAAATGGAGGTGGGTTGGATTGTGGCCATACTCTGAGAAAACCATCAAGTGAGTCACATCACACGCCAGGCCATTACTTCAGTGGAACCCGAACAGGAAGTGGTGATTCAGTAAGTCAGTGAGTGGGTGACATGGAGGAGGTCATGTGAAGAGGAGATGAAAGTATGTCGATATGTGTGGAGCCAGGTGAAACCGTTGGCAGAGAACGGAACGCTGTGTAGACGTTCGGCTGAAGCCATATGTCCCTCCAGGAAATAAAGGAGTCAATAATAATATTATTATAACATACTATGATAAGCAATCCTAAAAGTAAGCAGCTACTAAATAAAATTCATTACATGAAACAAAAGAGTATAAATTAAAACACAAATTTGAATTCACGTGAAAGATAAAAAGAATTTACAAAATTTACGCCTTACCCAAGTTCTCCTTTAACAAAGAATTCATCGTCAGAAATTGACAGTGTAAGCAAATTCAACACATCGATTGGACTGTACTGCAGAAGTATATGCAGAAGAGGATATTTAACATTTCGAAGAAATGCAGGAGGAGATTTAACGTTACTAAGGGATTCACTCAACATTAGATTAAAAATCTACAAATAACAAGAATAGAAGATTATGAAAAAAGACATTAGAACAGGAAGTATGAAAGATTAATTTTTAAAATGTTAACCAGAATAATAGCAAGGTATACAAGTGCAAAACTGTTCGAGCATAGTAAATGACATTGAAAGAGATTCTGCTTCAATGTTTAGATGAAACAATAGAATGATAACATTGTTTCCTTTGAGTGATTTCTTAATGACATTTAGAAAATACACTGAGTAGCTTCATCAATGATTCACATATCTATAAAATATGTCGACCATTGTGAGATGAACTTGAGGTATATAAATGATTGCTGTTCTAGGCTCTTTTTGACAGTTATGATGAATAGTATTACAGTTTGATCTACCTATGACCTATTTTCTCTTGACTCAGTCCGCTACGAACCAAGTTCTCCACTAGGGGAACTTTTATTTGTTTCACGATGAATTTACGCAATAGTTTCCCAGAGGTGATCAGCAGCATGATTTTACGCATATAATTAAGTTTCCCTTCTTTGGTAGTTTCTCAAGGTGACCACCTGTCTTCAGATCAACAGATAGGCTTACAGGCTAAACACCTGCAGTGGTGGCATGAGCATATCCACTGAGGTCTCCCTCTTTAGTGCCCTGTAGCTTCTCCAATTTTAGTCACTTTATGGCTTTCAAAACTTCTGCTTTTTTCAGCGTGTTGACGTTTACTGGTAGCTTCGTGTTTTTGCTGTGATATTTTTCTGGGAGGGCAATAAGTGGTGATCGATTCAAGAGTATTTTGAAGTGATAAGTGCGATTTTCATTCTCCGCCCCCACACCTTCTACTGACTCCATCTGTGTTGATCTTTTCTCAGACAGCGTTTCGGTTATTTGATATAGTGTTGTGAAAGCACTCTACTTATAGGCTGTTTTGTAGGATTTGTCAGTGCGTCGAAAAGCTTATTTTCTCCTCCTAGCACTCTTCTTCATTACTTTGTTCATCGCAGTGTAGATTACGCTTAGCTTCTCATTTCACTGTTCATCTCTATCAGCTTCCAGGTGTTTGTAGTCAGTCAATTATCTCCCTGGCACTCCTTCTTGTCCAAGATATCTCTAAGGGTTTCCTACTACATCGTTTTCAGAGAATTCCGATATTTTTCCAGATTTCTAATGTAATGTTGGTTAGTGTCTACAACTTTTTTCTGACGACAGCTGTGATGTCATTTGAAGCTTCTTTCTTCAGTTTTTGAGTGTGGAACCTAAACTGACGTTTATCTCCAGTTGCTTAGATGGATGAGATTGAACTTCACTTGATCACTTGCACTAGATAATGCTCCAAGGCGACATTTGTTCTTCTTCTCAATTATGCGTCCAGTGGGCTACGTTTCTCACTATCTTGGAATTCAGATGAAGTCTATCTGAAGTTTTGTGTGTCGATATCACTCTATGAGAGCATTTGATGCTGTCGGTGAAATCAAAATACCGGCACCAACCAGTGTCAGATACAAACCACTGCGCAGTCAACCTATCAAAACAACCATTATAAAAATGGAACGACAATTGTTACAAAAAGGAATAAACTACAACACTGAAGATGCTTCAAAAACTGGTTTCTTCGCTGCCCTTGAATCATCACTCAAATCATCCAAGTTAAGTGAGGAAACATAAGAAGAGATACACCAAACAGAAAAACAAGAGACAACTCAACTCTCGTTTGACAAAACGCTTTTGAACACATAATTTAGGTTTCTGTTCATGTATAGCTAAAGCTTCGGCTATGCATAAGTGAAGAAAACGTAAACTTTTGGATCGATTCGATTTTGCCATGTAGATAACTTTGAAAGATGAATCACGTGGGGCTAAATGACCAGACTCTAACAGGTGATCACAAATAGACGACTTTGCAGTTCTACGTTCGACTTTCATTAACCAAACCGGATAGTGTTCAGCTACACGTTTTCGGAGATTACGCTTACAACGTCCAATATAAACAGCTCCACAAGAGCAAGTAAAAGAGTAAATGCACATAGATGTGGACAAAAGCGGTAATCTATCCTTGACGCATTGTCTGATCATATTTCGGCTGGTAAAAACTAGTTGCAGGTCAGCTGCAGGAAAAGTGCGTTTAATACATTTAGATAAACGATTTTTAATCAATTCTGAAATGGTGTCACCTTTGAATGCAAGATTCATAAACAGCTTTTTCTTTGGTACTGTGACTTGTCTCGGGGCGGATTCTTTCTTGATGTTACGTTCAATGAACCTTGTGGGATAACCATTGTTAAGGAGATTTGATCGAAGGTTATCTAGTTCCCTATCGATTGTCTCTGCAGAGCAGATTTTACGAATTCTGGAGCATAAGGAATGAATAAGATTTCTCTTTCTCCCTAAAGGTACCCAACTGTTGAAGTTAGTGTACTGCCCAGTGAATGTTGGCTTTCGGTAAATCGACCTTAACAGCGTTCCATTCACTCTTCTATCTAGCTTAACATCAAGGAAGCGAAACGAAGAATCGGCCTCTTCTTCGATCGTGAAAAGCAAAGATGGATGAGAACCATTAAATATTCTAAGAAGTTCGGCAGTTGAAGTGTTTTCATCACATACAATGAAGGTATCATCAACATATCTTTTATACATAAACAGACTATCGATGGTTTCCTTTAGTGGGCCATTCTCTAAGCTTGCCATGAAAACGTCCGCTAAGAGCGGTCCTAAAGGAGACCCCATGGCGACTCCATCCCTTTGGTTGTAGATGACATCATTAAATCTAAATTGCACATTCAGTGTGCATCTCAATAGTAGTTGTTTAAGATAATCAGTTGGTAAGCCAATGTTCATGCTATTTGAATCAATATACTCGCATAGATAGCAGATAGTGTCTACTAGTGGTACATTTGTGAACAATGAACAAATATCTAACGAAATCATATGCTTACCAGTCACATTAATTTCATCAAAACAACTGACGAAGTCAAAAGTGTCGGAAAGACTATGTTTACATTGATTTAATCTAACTGGTTCCAGAATTTCCACAAGCCAGTTAGATTAAATCTATGTAAATCTATGATCTTGAGTAGTAATGAGCGAGGAAAGGTGTTGATGAAAGTCTGTAGTTTGTTGGAAGTGGCCTTCATGACGCTCTGGTCAAGTCTCTGATCTGTATAGTAGCACCAACTTCATATTGGTATTCCAGAATATCAGTGATTAATAGGCACTTAGACATAGATAAAATGTACCGATCCATAAGAGGACAATCTCATGCACAAAATGTCAACCTTCAGGTCAAGTAAACAATCAATACCAATAAAAATAGACTAGGTGGTGTGAAGACAGACGAGAGCAACCAATCACGTTTAAGGTCACCAGGAGAGATGACCAATAAACTCGTGGAGAAATCTAAAAGCTCCCTTCAAATTGAAGTATGCTCTGAAGATGTTGTCTAGAAGGGCAATCAAAGCTTCACAAGTTAACCATCCAGCTTGGTCGGAGAACACAAATACATGAAAATCATCCAATACCTGAGCTAAAAATCTTCTCCATTATATCTAATTGCTCGCAGCTTCAGCCTATGCAACCAAAGTGAATTATCGATTCTCCAGTTACTAATTCGGACAGTCCAGTTCTACTCCATCCACTCTCATAGATTCCTATTACTTCTATACTATATCTCCTGAATTCCTCGGCCATCTGAGCATTCTTGCTACCTAAAAACATGGTATAGACATTGCATGTTCCCGTGATTTCGTCGAAAAAAAGACTTATCGGCTGACTGGCTTCACGAAGACCTCCAGCCATCAGAGTCACCCGTTCTCTCATATCCCAACAGAGAATAAGTTTATTTTTCCTGACCTGCGAAATTTCAGCAGTAATGAGAGGGGTATAGGTTTTCTTTATCATGAATTATTACAAAACTTCTCAAACAAAAAAATAATAATAAAAAATAACAGAGAATGCCTAACAAATGACATGATACAACACAAGTTATACTCAATACATCCTACTAGTTGTGTAGAAATTATTCAGTTTATACCTTTAAAGGAATATCTTGATCCAGTGGGGCAGGTAGACGTTGGTGACAGAAAGATTCACCGGCAAATGCTGAACAAAGTAAGACAAGTAAACAATGTCCATACTTTGCTGTTCTGTTATCATCGTTTTTGACTGCGACATCTAACCAGAGATAAGAAAGAAACAATCTCCCGGCATAAAACAAAACATGCAAGAAGGCAAAATATCTAAATGGGAATTGTTTTATAATCATGAAATATGCAAAGTTTTTAGGCGTGAAAACTAAATTTATTGACAACACGTTAAACAAAAGCATCAGTATAAATTTTTTGATAGTTAAAAAAAAACAACAATTCAGGATACTAAATGTTGAATATTATAGAAGGCATGTTTTGCTGATTCCTCCTACAATAGAAGTTTTAAAAAGGTCTGGTTGGTTTTGAGAACGGAAACACACACCGATATACCTAACTTAGTGTGTCTCATCAACAATTAAGTTTTAAACCTTTGATTGCACACTAGTCCAATCAAAGTATCCAATACATTCCTACAGGAAGGTGGTCAATCGTGTGCCCGAATAGCTCAGTGGTGACGTCTCTAACTGCTGGTAGCACTGGGTGTGACGCGGGCTCGAGTCTCAGAAGAAGGGACATGAGTTCCTTCAAGCTGGTCGCAGATACGCCTTTCTGACTGGTGAGTGCACTGACTAACGCGAAACCTGGGTCAGGCAGGGCTTCCCGCCGATCGCCTACAATCATCTAACATCAAGTTGCAAACCATCAGTGGAATATAACCATACACTCAATATGGTAGTCCCCTGGAATACATCATATGCCGATGTGAAATGCAAGACACACTGAAAGCTCTTTACACTGTGAATCTAGTCTATCTTTCTCCATAGAAATTTATCAAGGGGACCAAATGTATGAAAGCTCTTTATCTAATAAAGAGCTTCCATCAATGAGTACGTGAGTTAAATTTCTGAAATATATCTTACCTGTTTCACCATTTAAACTATCTATACTTTTAAGCAAGAACATTGTAAGATCTCTAAAAGGTGTTTCAAAATCCATCAAAATATCCGTATACAGATGTAAGTAGGCATCCAATAAACTGTGTGTCCAACAAAGTTTCACAACCTGTACATTTGAATACATAAAAATGAAGAGATAATGTAAACAGCAACAAATTAAATTATAGTTCCAATATAATCTGTGCACTACTTAAATACACAGCTAGTAATGTTAGCTGAAGCTAACCAATAAGTGAAGTATAGCCAGTTTAAAACAAATATTACTTGAAGTGGAGAGCACTGTTAACTTTATCCAGAGTCAACTTTAAACGAACCTTCTTTAATGTTAATGATAACCTTTTGTAATGAATACACTCTTGTTATCGAAAGTTACGGTAGGCAACCATGAATAGAGCACATAGCCTGATCAGATGTTCCCTTTGTGTGAACTTGGTTGGTTTTGAAGGAACATGTCGGTATCGACCGACATCACATATGTAGTCAATTAAAATTATGGAGCACTGCTGTTAAGTATTTGTGTCGTCATAACGAATGACGACGCGTATAACTACATAGTTCATCTTTACAAACTCAAAAACAAATTTGCAAACGTAAGGAGGTTCCCGACATTAACTGAAACACGCCTCATTCAATTATTACACTATATTGGTTGGAGGATTTCATCATGAACTGACATCAATTAGAGAACCATTGGAAAACCGGTATCGGAGTACTGGACAGCTGTTTCCGCTGTCCTAATTTGGGACTTTTCATCAGTACACACCCACCATCAGGGTTCGAACCGGGACATTCTGGTTACTAGGTGAGCTCATAGACTGTTAAGCTGCTGGGACACAACCCAATGGCCACGAATTCCGACTTCTGCCAATTACCATATAGCACGACCACTTCGCAATATCTTTTCCGATGAGTTACTGCTTCACTTTCAACCTGCTGTAACCTACTGGTCACGGCCTCCCAATAGAACCCTGAATAGGGCCAGTCGCTAGGGGGCGTCAGATCAATTATCAAGTATCGGTTTGTAGGAATTTGGTTTGATGGGTTAGAGACAGAAATACAGACTAGGCGAAAAACAGATATGATAATGACTGATTGAGTTATTTGAACGAAAATTAAGACATAACTATATGAAGAACAGATACAATGAGGCTTACATAATTTAAGTCCAAACACGATGGGTGTAAACGAAGAAGACATATCTCCGTCCTGAGTCTTTTGTTAACCAAAGTATTACTGTCTGATGATTTAGTTTCATTTGTGTTTAGATCCATTATATCATCTTGATCTAAACACCAGTTAATAAAATGTTTGGTCATGTCAGGCGTAAGATAAATGAACTGTTGTCTGGGATTAATTTCGTGTGTAGACTGAGAAATTTCTGTGCGAAGTTGTCCATAAAGAGGCAGTGATTTTAAAATAGAAAATGTAGCAGCAAATAGGGCAGATGTCAAATTGGGAAACTGACGAACAGCTGGATATAACTCTGACCATATGAAGCCACTACAATACAAGATGACACAACACGCAAGTATTTAACATATGTATACATATAAAAATATCCAAGTCATATCATTAAAAGATTCCACGGGCGCGCGTCGAAGTATGGAAATTACACGATACCATATATGGCACGTATTTTATGTAATGAAAATAGTGTCAGACACGAACTAACTAACTAACTAACTAACCTTCTTTGCACTAGTAAACAAACAGTTCTCTCTGCCATTAAACCACCAAGCTTTACTGTTATTATTCCTATAATATTTATAATCCTCTAACTTTCTTTTGTTTATTTTCCTATGAGTGTAAACATCATTTAGCCTCTGTAATGATTGTTATTTTCTTTGTGTTCCCCTTACCATGGTATAATCAACAGAACATGAGATCCCATACTCTTTAATAACATGCTAAGATTTCCATACTGTATCGACAATACTGTTTGAAATAGACTCACTGTTATTATTATTATCAGAGTTATTATTCTCATTTTTTACTTTGCACAAGTTTTACTTTATGCCTACTGTAAAGGCGGGAAAATTCCCGTGGTTAATTTTATTTACATTTTGAGTAAATCAGATGCAATATTGTGGAAAATGTTGAGAATCCGATTCCGTATTATGAGAACTGTTCATCTTGGAATAAAGCAAATTATTATTATTTTAGAATCAAACTGACTAAATTTTACACGACAACTAGGTGAAAATTTCTACGAGGTGAGTTCGCTAGCCTCAAACTCAACCTTCTTGCTTTCCCAGACATACCGTGGACTAGTAAACTAACTGCGCGAGGTTTTGAAGCGAACTGACCGACAGGGAGTCAAACCCAGATCAATAGCGTGGCGGGAAAAAATATATCCTTCTATTTAACCACCAACGCTCTTCTTCAGCTCGCCTGCTTTACTAGTCAGTAAGTAATGCCAGGAAAGCGAAAAAGTTGAGTATGAGGCTAACAACTGATTGACTGACTGATTGAGTTTCTACGCGGAAATTTACACAAAAGTGCGGCGGCAGTTCCATTAGCTACACTTCGTGTAGCACATAGACGGAGACAAAAGAGGGAAGAGATTGAGGAGTATGTATGTAACAACAGAAGACAAGGCCCAGTCAACAGATCGTTTATTTAGCAAATCAACAGATATTTAGAGATTTTCATGTACATTATTATAGATTATTGTAAGCAAAAAAAACACAGTCTTCTGATTGGTGGTTGTTTCTCACTGAAAGTTAATCTTTCATCTCTTTGTGGCTGTTTCTTCAAGTTCAAATCATCTATCTGCAAATTGTATCCGCCTACGTGAAGTCTCCTGTGATTGGCTGTTGAGTCAGTCTTTGTTCTTATTTTTCTCATAACCAACATTAGGGGCATAAACATTGACGTAAATTACTGTCTGACAATTTTGGCTAGCAGCCAGCTCTCACATGTATATAATAAGCAAAAATGTGCAAGAGAAAGACCAGTAACATGGAAAACCCTGAGGATTTAATGTATCCAGGATACTACGAACCTAGTGACAAGTGATCAGGTACTGTATGTGTACATCAATAGAATGTAACCAGGGAAAGTCTAACAATATTATGCAAGTAAATGTTTTATTTTTTGATAGAGAAAGAAAGACCAGATTTGCAGCATAAAATGATATCATTCTATTTCACAGGTTCTCATCAGCTGCAAACTACCTGAACTTTTTTGGTAGGGATCAGGGGTGAATTTTATAAAAAAGATTTCATCACAATTAAATGTAGGGAGATGAAGGATTTAGATAAGTGCTGTTAAGTTTATGGACAACTAACATAGCGTTTCAAAAACAAATAAATATCATTTGTTTACCATGGACTGAGCTCATCAGTCTTACTTCCGGGATATGAGCTATTTGAAACTAAATTTAACAGGAAATCCTAAATATGAATGAATAATTTCATATCACAAGTAGCCTTCGCCGCCCAATGGATTACATTCTGGCATTAGAAACGATGAGATGTGTTCAAGTCTCAGTGAAAACACTATCACTCCACTTGGGTGGGGGTAAGTCCAGCTGATGAGTTCTCAGTTGGACGAGATAAATGTATTAGATTCTACTGCCAGACACCAGCGAAATGGTGCAGCAATAGTTGCATGTGTAGATAACAGGAATTTCAGAAAAGCGTTTTGCCGATATTATATGGTATTTTTCACGATAAGTACCGTCAAATCTTATGTAACAATAATGAATTTTAGTTTCAGTAGATTGATCTACGCTTCCCGATGAAATTCAGCTTATTTCTTTGTCAGTATACACGCTGACTGACTGGCCGGTTTTGACGTAGAACTCTGCAGAGATGTGCAGCAGTTCGAGTTGTCAAAATCCATTTAGCTCACAAAGCATGAGAAGAAAGTAAACTGGAAATTCAAAACAGAGATAATAAACAGAATTATGAGGCACCAAAAAAGTAATACAGAAAAACAATAAAGTTTTATTGGATATCATAAATCACAAGGAGTAGATACATCTGCGCCAATACCGAGAACAATTTTCAGCCATATCACCATTTGTCTCCAGCCATTGGCCATCCCGAGAACCCCAACCAGTCAGCATTTTTACATGTCCCGACGTGGATGGCTGACTTAAACTGACTGTTGTGGATTTGACCACCACTAGTTAACTCTTTTCCAATCTGACCCATTCTATGTCAGCTAACATTGCCCGTAATCGAGGAAGGCAATGGATGGCTAGGCAGGCATGCGTAGCGCATGTTCTTACCACCTCAGTCGATGTAACTTCACAGACTCGTCTATACATTTCCTCTCCTTACCTAGCAGTCGACCGATGTCTAACCTCAATGCTGCTTACCCTACCATGCCACACAACAAGGGAGATAGAACGCAGAAACTTATGATTAAACACAGCTAACCTTTTCATGTCTTGCACATCCTCTGTCTATGCCTCACAGTCATAAAGACGGACAAAGCAAGTCCTCCTTTGATCGAAAACCAGCCGGATACCGCGTCTACTAAGCTGGAGATGGCATAAGTTGGCTGAAAAATGCCGAACGAGCCTTCTGTATCTGTGCTGAAATTTTGTTAACGATCAATCCGTTGGCGTTGGCTGATGCAACTTCCCAAGTAAGTGAAATGGTCATCACGCTGTACCGTCTCGCTGCCTGTTTCTAACCTAGTATTCGATGTATTTCAGTCCTGTAGTATCACCTTACATTTGACAGCGTGTGCGAATCGCTCGCAGGTCAAACATTCGAAAATTGCAGCTCAAGGTGTTTAGAAGACTATGTATTTTGTCAGCATCTCCCTTACCTAGCAGAAAGGACTATATCATATGCATGTTCTCAGTCAACAGGATTATTCCAAGTCAATCCCTCAGTCGCTGAAATAGGCAGTTAAGGTTAAGTCCATTAGTACGTGTATGGTGAAATTAAACAGAAATGGGAATAGTGGTGGACATCCCTCACGGACACCACTAGAAGAAAGTACAAGAAAAGCATAATAGAAACAGTGAGCAGAGGTGTGAGACAAAGGAGTAATATTTCTTTATTACTCCTTTGTCTCACACCTCTGCTCACTGTTTCTATTATGCTTTTCTTGTACTTTCTTCTCTTGCTTCGCGTGCTACACGGAATGTGGCGACTTGAACTTCCGCATATTTGTGCAAAGTTCTATGTCGAAAACAGACAGACAGACAGACAGACTAGTTGTCACCACTTCAGATGACAACTCACCATAGGCTCTCATCTGGCTGTTTGGTTTCGAGTAAAGTGAGTGTCTTGATCAGTGCAATGTATTCGCTCGACATTCCCTTTACGGCCAAGCATGGCCAGAGTACCTGTCGGTAGAGGGAATCGAATTCTGCTCTCAAGTCAAGAAATATGACAACTGTTGGATGCCGGTAAGTATACCTATGTTCCAGAATCTGTCTAAGGGTTAAGATATTATCAATACACCCTCTTTCTGGTCTGAAGCCTGCCCTGCTCCCTCGTGTTTGTTCCTCTCGAGCACCGCTTAGTCCACGCATGTTTACTAAGCCTCAGTATATACAAAATTAGGTAGTGGATGCATAGATTACATGGTCAATCTCGACCAGGTGTTAAAACACTGTTACACTTACTGCAAAGCCAACAATAGTTTAACCGTTAAATATCTTGGCATTACGTTTACTAACGATTCATAAGAGAGGATTTTTCTTATGGAGTAATCTGTTAGAGAAAGGGATTCATGAGAATTTCATCATCTTGAAATCCCTATCTAAACAGAACGCATCAGTTAGAAAGTGAACACACAAAGCACCTATCATAAATGTCCTCAAGCACCAGGGCTAAGAAAAGTTTGCATAGTTTTGCCATTTCTGTCTAACTACGTCATTCAGCACATTCTGAGGAATATATGTGACAGTCACCTAGATCTGCTGGCTAGAGAATCACTATACGCTCATGCATGCAACACCGTCTTACTATATGTGTTAACCTTGGCGCAGTCACGACGTTAGTCTGGTCGTCATAGATCAGACTGACAACACATTGTACCCTGCAAAACGTGACTTCCACATGTTTTTTACTCACAGAGATTCCGCATGTTCAGTCAATGCTGTCTCTGCAAATCCACTGGCATACAGTGGCGTGCATGCATAGCTAATTCTGAAGTCTTGGGTATTGATGTCTAGGGAAAACGATTTCGATGGTTTGTAAATGTTTTATCTTTCACTGTTTTGGCAGGCATGAAACCAGTTGCAGAAACTAGAGACGTGGTCAGCCTATGCACCGGAGCTGTGAAATGAAGGAAGGCTGTGTTTAGTTGCTGTTTTGATGGTGAATACCAAATCCCTGGAACACGCCACTCAGAGGTTCCAGATGTCATCATAAATGACCAAGGGATTAATATCACTCGTGAAAAAAGCAGTAGTTTTATTGTTTTTCTAACTTCTACAAGTAATACGAATTAATGAACACTCTCCCAAACGTATTACAAAAGTATGCCTGTTGTTTTTTCCAACTACTTTATTTATCCTTTCCGCATAATTATTGTCTCCCACTTTTATCTCTTCTTTCCCAAACGATCTCCTTCATATCACCGTAGGGCGCCGACTTGTCACTTCCCGTTTGGATTCCACTCAAGAGCGTGGTGTGTGATGTCCTTCGACGGCCTCCTCAATGGATGACTGATCCATCTCCACTTTCTCCCATATACTTGTTAAGCGATCGGCTCTTGGGTGGTTTGTTCCATTGCAGAATTGATGAAGGTGTATCTCGCCTTTCCGATTTTGACTTTGACACCTTCATCCGTCCCTCTCGCTTGTAGTTGAAACGATGCTTCCCACAGAAGTGAAGGAGGCAACCTCTCTTAAATGTTTCCAGTTGGTGGTGATTGGTGCTGGTTGTTGTCACTGTTGATTGGTTATTTTCACCACCTCCGTCCTCTCTGTGTTCACCTGCAGTCCTGTCTTCGCTGCCTGTCTCTTCAGCCAGTTTGTTGGTTTTCGTTTGCAAGTCTTTGAGTTTGTGTGACATTAGAGAGATATAGTATCTGCGATATCCAGATGTTCCAAAGTCTTCTTATCGTTGGTCCAGGGTAATCCTGATTCCTCCTACTACTATTACTACTACTAATCATAATAGCATTAATAATAATAATAATAATAGCAATAGTGATGATAAAAAGTAATTATCATAGCAGTATAACATCAAGAATTTTATTTGCATGTAACTTAAACTAAATTCCACGAAGACAAAACACTTGACAAAAAGGGGAATGCATGAAGTTATAGGCGAAAAGGGTGGTTTGCCGGTATTATATAGTGTAGAATTAAACACTAAGCATTTGATTACACATCAAATCAAAGTACTCTAGGGTGAATATATATATATATATATATATATGTATATAACTTACGGCTGCTTAATCATACAGGCTATTCGAACTATGGATTCTATTACTGATGATACAGGTAACCAATTATAGTCTTCTTCATTCTCAGATAGTAATGCAGAAAGCACTTCACCTCGTAAAATACTTAAAATATGATTATGCATTGATAATATATTGGAATCTTGTTCATGCTTTTCAGGCGTAGACAAGGCATCAGCTTGTTTCACTACAGATAATGATTTCAATGCATCCTCCATATATCTAAGACCCAAATGAAGTTGTTTACATCGTAGGAGAAAAGTAACGCTCTGAAATTAGAACGAAAATTAAAGATTTTATTAAAATACTTTGAAGGTAATCCACTAATAGGAACCTTTCACACTTAGTGCAATAAACAATCTCTCTCTCTCTCTCTCTCTCTATATATATATATATATATATATATATATATACATAAACGAGTAAACTTTCACTTAACTACAGTTAAATTATAAGTATGCAGACAATAGATGAGATATAATGAATATTGAAGGAAAATAAAAAGAATTTCGAATCTGATGTCAAGTACTAACAACCCTCTGACGTTCCACATATTTGACCTCATAGTTACCAACCAAAACAGAGGTACTAATGTAACAACAGAAGACAAGGGTCAGGCAACAGATGTTTTTATTACGGAAATCAGCACGTATTTATATATATTTCATGTACATTATTATAGCTGATTCAAGCAGAAAAACACAGTCCTCTGATTGGTTGTTTCTTGCTCAAGGTGACTGGTTTCTCGGAAAGTTAAGCCATATATCTGCGAATCTTATTTGCCCACGTCAAGTCTGCTGTGATTAGATGTTGAATCAGCCTTGTTCATATTTTCTCACGGCTAATATTAGTAACCTAGACATTGACGTAAATTAATGTCTACCAATTGGCTAGCAGCCTGCTCTCACCACACTAATCTGTCTGTCTGTCTGTTTTCGACATAGAACTTTGCACAAATGTGCGGAAGTTCAAGTCGCCACATTCCGTGTAGCACGCGAAGCAAGAGAAGAAAGTACAAGAAAAGCATAATAGAAACAGTGAGCAGAGGTGTGAGACAAAGGAGTAATAAAGAAATACAAAACAGTTTCATTGAAGATCATAAGTCACAGGGAGTGGATGCATCTGCGCCACTGAGAACGGTTTTGAGCCATGTCACCAATTGTTTCCAACCATAGATTTTTACCGTCCCGAGGACCCCAGCCTGGAAGTCTACACCTTTCTACGTGGCTTAGACCAACTGTTGTGGATTTCATTGACTGATGCCAAGTTTTTGTTTGACCGCCGCTAGCTTTTTTCCAGTCTGACCCTATATCCGCTAACATAGCTCGTCGAGGGAGGCGATGGCTTGGCATACGTAACACATGTCCTAACCATCTCAGTCTTTGTAGCTTCACGGCTTCGTCGATTGATTTCCCCTGTTTACCTAGAACTCTACGCCTAACCTCCATGTTGCTCACCTTATTATGCCACTTTACACGGGAAATAGAGCGTAGGCACCTATGATCAAAGACAGCTAGTCTTTTCATGTCTTCCACTCTCAGTGGCCAGGTCTCACAACCATAAAGGAGGACGGAGCGGACTGATGAGCAGTACACCCGCCCTTTGGTCGATAGTCGAACATCTCGTCTACGCCAGAGTCGGCGTAAACTGGTAAATGCGAAACGAGCCCCCTGTATTTGTGCTGAGATTTCGTCAGAGATCAACCCGTTGGCGTTGGCTGATGGTACTTCCCAAATAAGTGAAGCGGTCAACGTGCTCTACCACTTCACTTCCTATTTTTAAACTAGGCGTCGATGTAGTCCAGTCCTGTAACATCATCTTGCATTTGGCGGGAGCGAATCGCATGCCAAACATTCGTAGATTGCGGCTCAAGGTGTTTAGAAGACTCTGCATTTCGTCAGCGTCTTCGCCTAGAAGGACTATATCGTCTGCGTATTCCAAGTCAACGAGATTATTCCCCGGTAGCAAGTCAATTCCTGAGTCGCTGATGTCACCTAGAGTTAAGTCCATTAACACATCTATGATGAAGTTGAATAGAAAAGGAGATAATGGGCATCCTTGACGGACACCACTGGTCGTCATCAGTTCAGATGACAGCTCGCCGTAAGCCCTCACCTGGCTGTATGAGTACGAATAGAGTGCCTTAATCAGTGCAATATATTTTCTTGGAATTCCCTTTACAGCCAAGCATCTCCAGAGAACTTCCCGATCGACAGAGTCGAATGCTGCCTTTAGGTCAAGAAAAACAATGACTGTTGGACGCCGGTAGGAATGTCTATGTTCTAGAATCTGTCGGAGGGTGAAGATATGATCAATACACCCTCTTCCTGCTCTAAAGCCTGCCTGGCTCTCTCGTGTTTGTGCTTCCCGAGCACCACTCAGTCTACGCATGATTATTGAGCCTAAGACTTTAGATACTATATTAGTCAAGCTAATCCCTCTGTGATTATCACCACATTAATATGTATATATATATATATCAGAAACGAGGAGTCCTGTTCATCGAATCAGCAGACGTTGATACACACAAGATAAAACTGAACTGAAACGAAAAAAACATCAAACGTTTTTCGATCCAGCGTTAAAACGGCTGAGGAGGCCGCTGGGTGACATCGCGCGCGTCAGGCCACTGCTCGAGTGGAACCCGAAAAAGAAGAGGCAAGTGGGACGTCAGTGGAAGGGTGACATGGAAGAGATCGTGTGAAGAGGAGTTGAAACAGTATGGACTAACATGGATACAGGTGAAAAGTACAGCAGAAGACAGCAGCAAGTGGAGACGTGCAGTTGAAGCCCTATTTCCACTAGGAACCCAAGGGAATACTAATAATCTAAATTAATTATCTCAATTTAACAGTTAACATAAAAAACGTACAATGGGCTTAACAAAGCACAGAGCAACTGTTTGTTGTACAATATTTTTACATTCTCGTACTGAAGACTAAATTGTTCAGTCATTGTTTCAGAAATCATATTGAAAACTGCACAGGAGCATTTCAACTACCAGGTGTAACAGTAGAGGACAATAGACTTGGTAACGGAATTGCTACTTGGAATTGCATATCTCTGTATAGGGAAATTGTGTACACCTTATCTCCAAATCGTCATTTGCACAGATCTTTTGTGTTGTACTAATTCTGCCCTTCCTTCGTATTGTGTTTCTTCTTTGTCTTCTTCTCTTCATGTCTCCCATGTTTTGCCGCAATACTGGTTCATTTCCTTTCTCTCTCTCTTTCTGACATCAAATCTATCTCTCCGCTACTTGATGTTTTTGTGCTGATGAACGTGTCTCCATATATTATTGATAAATCTTGTCAGTAGCACACGTTACACGAGCATTTTAGTGAACACTTATCAGTTGCGGTCATCATATCTGGAAAAAGTTGATTGGTTATGCATATCGTCTTTCAGATAGATAAATATTGAAATGACAGTTTTTATGCTCTATAAAACGTCCAGGTTGGAAACTTTGAAGTCGAGGAGATAAACTCCATGTGCTACTACCAGCTTCAATTTCCCAGTCAATTTTCTCCATTTAATTAAGTATTTATTCACCAATACATGTATAGCCCAATTCACTGGCAAGTTCTGAGACTGGAGAAACAAGGAAGGTTGGGCGTGGGAATAGAGACTCCAACCCTGAAAATCAAACCAGTCACTACACAAACTTCAGCGTACATGGAAAAATATGTACAATAAATTTACTCCCCACTGGAATCAGGGAGACCAAATAAAACCAGCTGATGAAAAATCTCGGGAGGACAGTCGGCCGTTGTATCTTCTTTCCATGAAAGCGAAAGTAATTGTGGGGACAGGGAACTATCGCACCATGTTTGATGCTGCCTTACAAGGCTGCTGAGACTGCAGAACAAATGAGAAGATATGGTAGAGAAGTGCTAGGAATCTGTGACAGCAGATAGAATAGATAGCATACTATCCAAAATTTTCAAGTATTGGTTCTGTAGGGATTTTGTTTGATCGCATGGAGGATTTCATCATGAGCTGACATCTGGGTGGGTGCGTACTGATGAAGAGTCCTAAACTAGGAAAACGGAGACAGTTGTCCAGTACTCCCAGGTTTTCCAGCTGTTCTGTAACTGATGTCAGCTCATGATGAAATCCTCCAAACTATCCAAAATGTTAACTGGAGAGTCATCAATCTTGATATGATATCACCAATAATTTGTCCTCAAAACGTCTTCAGTTAATATTGTTGTATTATTATTGTTCCCTTGGGTTCCTAGTGGAACATAGGGCTTCGACTGCACGTCCCCAATTGCTTCTGTCTTCTGCTGTACTTCTCACCATACTGTTTCAACTCCTCTTCACACGATCTCCTGCATGTCACCCTTGCACTGATGTCCCACTCGCCGCTTCCCTTTCGGCCTGGTACCACTCGAGCAATGGCCTGACACACGCGCGATGTCACCCAGCGGCGGCCTCCTCAGCGAGTGTCCAATCCATCTCAATACACTTTCTCATGCATATTTGTTTGTTGACGATTAGTTCTTGTTTTGTTTGTTCCCAGTTTCTTGTTGGTGATTCTTTCCAACCCGGCCATCTCATCTTCAGTATAGAGCCAGCGAAGACAGTTAGTTGTTGATGAAGGTCTGCAACAGGCTGTTGGAAATATTCTTTGTGACCCACGCGCCAGGTTTCTGATTCATATAGAAGAACTGACTTGACGTTTGTATTGAAGATTCGAGCGAATTTTGTTGTTGATGCTGAGTGGCAAAGATTTCCAGATTGGTTTCAGGTTGATGAACGTGTTTCTCGCCCCCCCCCACCCGATTCTCGCTCGATTTGACATCCTCGTCCGTTCCGACTTCCTGTAGTTGAGACAATGCCCCCTAGATAAGTGAATGAAGTAACCTCTTTCAAATCCCTCCCGTTGATGGTGATTGACGCTGGATGTTACTGTTGTTGGTTGGTTAATATCACTATTAATATTACTATACAATATTGTGTGATTCGTCAAATTAAAATCTTATCCATAATGGAGTTACACGCTACCACAGTGCCCAAGTTTTATACTTAAGTCACTAATCTACTTCGGTCACCTAGATGACAACTAAGAGCGCACTGAAGGAGTGTCCAGGCTCTTAAGTGGAACCCCAATACGAAGCAAAGAGTTAGGCGCCTTAGGACGACATGACACAGATAATGTCATGAGGAAATGACAGCAAGAGGGCAATGGTGGAGCCAGATAAAAAAAAACACCGCAGCGAACACACTGAAATGAATATGTACTCAAAATACTTACCTCATTCCACGTACGCAGTGCAATCAAATACAGTCCAGTGTCACCAAGTAACAGCAGCTGAGATCCATAAGCGGTAAGTGAATGCATACAAGCTCGCTCACCAGCAAAAGCCTACAAACAATAACCACAAAAAATAATAGGACGATAGTCTTTGCAAAGTTTTTTTGTTTAGAAATGTGATGGTAAGTTTGAAACCCCTCATATGATTACTAACCCGCTATGAACATTACCCAGAAAAGCTTAGCAATCATCTATAACGTATATGCTTGTGAATCGCACTCATTAAACAATGAGAAAAAGAAATACGGTGACTTTTAAGGTGGTCGAAACGGTGACGGTTGCATTTTTAGTCCATCAAACAAAGGCCCAACAAGTATTTATGATTTTTATTCTACAAAGTGCAGATTAGAGTCTATTCCTTCTTTTTCAATGGTAACTACGTATTAAAAGACTTGTGTCGATAGTGAGCAATTGATAAAGACTAATGCAACGAGATAAACCTAACTTTTCTGTTAACTAATCAAAAGAATGCATTAAAGTCACATAACTATAAAAAAAAACACTCGGTGAAACAAATTAACCACCACAGGAAAAGGAATCTACTACCATTTGAAAGGGTCTGTTACGTAATCAATGCTACAGAATACACTTTCAAAAATGTAATATAGAGATTGACAATGGAAATTCACAGTGTCATGTAAGCTGAAAAGAGGTAAGATGAATCCATCAGAAGAATTATATAAGTAATATAAACGCCACAAGACAAAAAGAAAAGCAAACACAAGAATTGAAGTTTTGAATGTAAGAAATATAGCATGGTCATATGTACACATCAGTCAGGTACAGTAGAAACAAACTGTGACTCAAAAGTTTACAAGATAAACAAAATAAAGTTTCATCCTATTTTACAGTCAACACATATTGAAAAACAATGTGTTGCATGCACTTAGGTAAAGATTTTATTTTTATTTTTGATTTACAGCTTGATTCGTTACTGTATTTTTGGTACAAGTATGGAATTTTCAGCATGGATATCGGTAGCCCACATTTTGTAGGCCGACCATAGATATCAGGTGTGCGTCGACAGGGGATCGAACCTCGGACCAAGTGCATGTTCAGTGAGTCTTAACCATTGTGCCACCGACGCACTACTAGCTGGCTGTTAAAATTTCGGGAAGTGGTGTAGAGTTCGGACTAATAATGACCTAGTGAATTGAAGTTGACCGCGTACACCATTGAAATAGTTCATAAAGAATGTAGGAAAGAATTCGACTTCAACTTAAAATCGAGTACGTGCATGTACTTGATCTACAGAAGTAGTTATAAGTAATATTGAATCGCATATCAATAATTCATTGTTTTTGTGTAAAATACTTCAATGCATATAGTGCAAAAAGGTATTTAAGAGACAAATGAGAACACTTACGAGAGCTTGACTAATTCTCGGATATTTAAATAAATCAGAATTATAATGGAGACGCATATTTGAAACATCAACCGTCTGGAAAAAAATATTAAGAAATAACCTTATAATATATATATATATATATGCGACAATATTCGCCAAGATGTTCTCCTAGTTATACAGGTATGACAAATGAAACAAAATATCATTCTGATTAGAAACAGCCTCTACTGGTATTTGAAAATAACTCACAATGCTTAATCGCTAAGGTGAGTTAATTTCAACCTCACGTGTCAATACTGCATACTGATCGGTTTATGAGATGAGGATTTTTTGTAGGCTGATTTGGTTCAAACTACTGTCAACCGTATCGAACAGTGAGTAGTGTCCCGTAGAGTAAGACTAAATCCAAGAAAATTAAGGACAGTAGCGTCAATTTATGAAGTATCTGGATGTTAGTCTCGTATGACGACTGTGTTTAGGTGGCCTTAGCCGTACCAGGATCGAGAAAGCACCGTTCATTAAATAACTCCTACTTCTGTTGCTACCAGTTTTATCCACTGCATTGTTTATCATTCTTTATCTATCCATTTCGTATTTGAGTGTTATTTCAAAGCGTAGTAAACTGATCCGATTCACATTTGTCAAAAGTTCTACACTGCTCTTTCTGACAACGGTCTGGGATTTCCCACCACTAGAATGATTCCGCTTTAAAATATGATATCCTCATTAACTGAGTTAGAAGTAGTTAAGTGTGCACCTCATATAAGCTCCAACTGCATTTACCGATTCATCTGTACTTGTAATAGCAATTCCACAATAAGGACTGAGCGGACAGCGTCTACTAGATTTTCTGAGCATACGAAACATAGCAAAGCGTTGTCAAGTATAATTGACAGACATTTGACTGACACAGGACATAGAGTGGAAATTAGTCATATACGAAGAAAACTGTAGTTATTTCGTTTACAAGAAGTCATTACTATCAAAAGATTTCAACCCGACTGCTGCATACACAGAAAGATAGAGTGATTAACCTCTCACTATCCTGGTAACTGTAACTGTTGCGTTTGTGTTTGGCTTTGTTGAGTAATACTGTACCTAATTTTCCTTTCTGATTAAATTTACTTACCTGTTTGTCTGTGTTATAATTTTCCTTTTACTTGGAATAAAGCTTAACTTATCTTGTCACTTTCACACTCTCAAACTTTTCATCATATTATGTATACATTCATTTTGTTGTCGATTATTGTATTCTTTCTCCAGGTCAATCCTTATTTCTTTGCAAAATTGGAACTCTGCTCCTCTTTCTTGTCTAATTGTAATATAAACAGTTAGACTTGTTATCACTGAATGATTTGTCTACTTAAATCATTTGGGAATTACATTTCTTACACTTTCAATCAATAGATTGACGTTGATGAGATTAGAGTATGATGTTCAAACCTTTTGTAACTTATATTTTAATATTGTTTAGATTGCAAAGGATGCGCTTTTCGATTACTACGTTACACTAACGTAGTTATATAAAACTCTTATTTCTGTGGAGTTTCTTACGAAAAAACTGCGAGACATCTTGTAATTATTTGCCTTTCGAACACTGAATCTGTGGATATAATCTTGTTGACAGATAGTACCTATAACTGTCTGTTTGATGTATTGTGACTGTTTATCATTATCTAATATCTATAACTGTATATATTGTTGGATTTACATGTTCAAGTTGGCTCAAGTCAGTGAGTCTATGATTTTGGAATCATTTTGGTTAACTGTGCTTAACTGTGACATTTTTATTGTTGTTGTCGCTTGTTGCCCTTTTTGCTGTGAATTATTTGCTGGTGTTGTTCTGACTGTTTTATTCCTTGTATTCCTTGATTTTCGGTTTTAAGGGGAACAACCCACAAGGTCACTTCTCTCTAAACTATATCTTAATGTAACAATCCCTTTCTCAGGCGTGAGGCTAGCAACCCCAACCTGTAAACAAAGTTGCTACAGAAACTTCAGCACAATGAATCCTCTTTGCACCAAAAAAAGTCTGTGTGGTGACATGGAACGTCCGCATATGTACGAGATTGGAAAAGCTGCCCAGATTGCAAACGAGATGAAAAGATACGGAATCCAAGTACTGGGAATATGTGAAAGCAGATGGAACGGGAATGGACTCACCAAATTGTCAACGGGTGAGTCAGTGATCTACTCCGGTCACCCAGAAGATAACCACACGCACACCGAGGGCGTGGCTATCATGATGTCACCAACGGCAACGAAAGCCCTGATGCAATGGGAGGCGATCTCGTCCAGGATAATGACCGCCAGATTCAACTCCAAAGGAAGGAAAGTGTCAATCATACAATGTTATGCACCCACAAACAACGCAGACCTCGAAAAGAAAGAAGAATTCTACAGACAATTACAGGCAACAATGGACAATACTCCAGCTGGCGACATTAAAATACTAATGGGAGACATGAACGCCAAACTGGGACCAGACAACACAGGAAGGGAACTCATCATGGGTAGAGAAGCTCTCGGAGAAATGAATGAAAATGGAGAACTCTTCGCCGACTTCTGCGCCTTCAACGAACTAGTGATTGGTGGCAGTGTATACAAGCACAAAGATATCCACAAGGCTACATGGGTGTCACCAGACGGGCAAACCAAAAACCAAATCGACTTCATCTCAATCTCAAGGAAGTGGAGGCGCAGCCTACTGGACACAAAAGCAAGAAGAGGAGCAGACGTTGGCTCAGACCACTATCTCGTACAAGGGACAATCCAAATCAAATTAAAAGCTTTCAGGGAAACAGGAGCTGCAGATAGACCACAAGCCAAGTTCAACACTCAAAAGCTGAAGGACCAGGCTACAAAGGACATCTTCATTGCAAGCATAAAGGACAAAGCCGAGATACAAATCAACACTAGCGAAGAGGTCAGCGTCGAAAAGCACTGGAACAACTTGAAAACGGTGTGGAGTCAAACCTGCATGGAAGTTCTAGGCAGAAAGAAGAGACAGGACAAACAGTGGCTCACTACGGACACTTGGAAACTAATAGGGAAGAGAAAGACAGTGAAACAAAAGATTATCCAGTGCACGACGAGCAACAAAAACAGGAGCTGAATGCAAGCTACAATACACTGAACAAAAGAGTGAAGAAGAGTGCCAGGGAAGACAAAAGAAAATATTATGAAACCATGGCAAACGAAGCAGAACAAGCTGCAGGCAAAGGAGACCTCGCCACACTCTACCAAACAACTAGGAACCTATCGGGCAAACGTTCGACACAGATTAAGCCAATAAAGGACGACAATGGAAAGTCAATCACCAAAGAGGTGGAGCGAAGAAAGCACTGGGCTGAACACTTCAAAAGACTTCTAAATCGTCCGCCACCTACAACGCGCCCAACAATACCAACAACGGAAGCAGAACTACCAGTGAACACTGACCCCCCGACGAAATCAGAAGTCCTGAATGCAATCAAGATGCTAAAAGCTGGAAAAACGGCAGGACCAGATGGAATCCCAGCAGAAGCTTTGAAAATAGACCCAGAGACAACAGCGGACTTGATGACGCCACTACTGGAGAAGGTGTGGAAAGAGGGCAAAGTACCCGAGGATTGGAAGAGAGGATACTTATTCAAACTTCCAAAGAAAGGAGACTTAAGTCAATGTAAAAACTGGCGTGGAATTATGCTTCTGTCCATTCCAAGCAAGATACTAAGTCGCATCATCCTGGAGAGAATCAAACAAGCCCTAGATGAAAAACTTCGTCCGGAACAGGCCGGATTCAGGAGAAACAAATCATGTATTGATCAAATCGCCACTCTACGGATCATCATTGAACAAAGCTTGGAATGGCAGTCACCTCTCTATCTCAACTTCATCGACTTTGAAAAGGCCTTCGACAGCGTCGATCGAGAGGTCATTTGGAAACTACTTCGCTACTACGGGGTCCCATCGACAATTATACATCTCATCCAACAGTTATACGACAATGCTGCATGCCAAGTAATCCACAACGGGAAACTTACGGAAGCCTTCGAAGTGAGGACGGGAGTGAGGCAAGGCTGTCTACTATCACCAATGATCTTCCTGATTGCAATTGATTGGATAATGCGACAGACAACGGCAACCAACGAGGGAACAGGCATAAAATGGACTGACACAAAAGACTTGGAGGATCTGGATTTCGCCGATGATATATGTCTGATTTCCCACAAACTGGAAGATATGCAAGTGAAAAGTAACAAGTTGGCAGAAGAAGCATCAAAGATAGGACTTCAAGTGAACATAGATAAAACAGAGGTGATGAAGATTCCTAGCCAACATCAACAGCAACAACAACAACAATCAGCATAAATGGGAAGAACCTGAAAGAAACAACCTCCTTCACCTACCTGGGAAGCATCGTCTCAACTACAGGCGGAACTGACGAGGATATCAAAGCCAGAATCGGAAAAGCAAGACAAGCTTTCATTACTCTCAAATCTGTGTGGAGGTCAACAGCACTCAGCATCAAAAATAAGATCCGGATTTTCAACTCCAATGTAAAGTCAGTGCTACTATACGGATCAGAGACTTGGCGAGTCATAAAGAGCATCTCAAACAAACTTCAGACCTTCATTAACAGCTGTCTTCGCTCAATACTCAAGATCAGATGGCCAGAAAAGATCAGCAACAGGGATCTCTGGGAGCGAACCAATCAGGAACCGATTGTGAAACAAATAGGCAGGAAGAAATGGAGATGGATTGGCCATACGCTGAGGAAACCATCAAGTGACATCACTAGACAAGCCATCGCTCGAGTGGAACCCGAAAGGGAGGCGGCGAGTTGGTCGTCCAAGGGTGACTTGGAGGAGGTCATGCGAGGAGGAGATGAAAGCATGTGGACAGACCTGGAGCGGGGTGAAAAAGTTGTCAGAAAACCGAAGGCAATGGAGGTGCGCAGCTGAAGCCCTATGTTCCTCTAGGAACTAAAGGATACAATAATAATAATAATATGACCACCACTTTTCTCTTGTCAAAGGTATTTCAGGTGGACTCTACTAATGGTATTTAACTCTTATTGAATTTTGTAACAACAGAAAGGAAAATTTATTTTTCATGTACGAACAAGCTAACTAACTTACTTCTAATATTTCACCGGTCGAACTGCTTAGTAAATAAAGTTGCTCGTTTTCATCAACAGCGATAACTTGATTGTAAGAAATCCACTGACAATAAAAATTTACGAAAATGCAAGGGTAATAAGAAATTAATAAGGTTATGGTGCAAATAACAGAATGCCAATTATAATGAAGATGTGTGCATATATGGGTTATATAACAAATGTCCATTTTTATCAACTTATTTGATATAGGAACTCATGTACCACCACCCCAAGTAGTTGGGTGGCGATCACTACACACGAACAACACCAGCATACCGATTCAAGACTTAAATAACGTGCAAATAAGAAAAATAGCCATTGAAATCTCGTTTCCAAAAAGAAAAAATTGAACTTACAAATGTAAAAAACCAAATTGCTCAATATCGGCAACTATACATAACATAACATAAGCCTACAATTTTCCACTGCCTGCCTGACTGAGTTAGATCACGTTGTCAAACTCCACAGAACACACACGTAAAGAAAAAATAAACTAAAAGGGACTATAATTAACGGAAGTGTACAGTAGAAAGAATAATTACGTGGTGAATAACGCGAATTTAATAGATCTAAGAGGTTACAAAGAGTCAGTGCTTCTGTGCCACTGTGCACCATATCACAGAGAGAGTCTCAAACCACCGGTTCTTTGCGTGTCGACGACTCCAACCAAACAGTCTACATCCCACTTCGTGGTTGACTCCAACCAAAGGTAAGGACTACACCGATTGACACCATGTTTTGATTTGACCATCCCTAATTGTTTCGACACCTCGTTCTATGTTAATTGACATCTCCCAACGAAGGTGATAACTATGTGTAATACGCGTCACAGTCATTTCAATCCGTGTAGTTTCGCAGCCTCACCGATATCGCTGCTCTTTAAATCCAACACTCTAAGCATAACCGCAATATCACTCACTACATTATGCCACGCAAGACAAGGCATCAATGGCAGAAGATAGTTAGCCTCTTCACATCTTCCACTTTTAACATCCATGTCTCATAGTGGTAAAGAAGCACGAAAAGAAGTGTTACACAGTACACACGTCCTTTGATAGATAAGCGAACATCACATTTGCATCGAGGAGGCTAGCAGTTGGCGCATGTCAAATGAACGTTTTGTATAATTTTGCTAGCAATCAGTCCATTACGGTAACTTCCTAAATAAATGCATTGGTTCGCATGCTCAACCATTACATTCCCTCTTTGAAATTGCACCCGGTGCAGACTAATCCAGCAGCATAGACATGAGAAAAGCACACGCCAAATATACCGATATTTCTGCTCAGTGTGTTCGGAAGACTATACATCTTGTCAGAGTCTTCACTTAGAAGTATAATAATCGCATACTCTAAATCACGGAAGTTGATTTCTTCTTGTTCAGTATCTGAAACAAACGGAGCATAAGTGTTGCGTGAACACAAACCCCAAGGGGGAGGGGACAATAGCCTGATACCTGTCACACGTGATCTGTTTGGAGTGGTTGAAGTCGAAGTCAGTTTATCAGTGTGACACCCATACACACCTGCTATTAATTGCACAGTTGAGTCGAGGTTTAAGTTATTAATTTAAGTTATTATTAACCAATGATTCACGAGCTCAAAAATCCAGTCTTCACAGTCAGCTCACTAATAGGCGTGAAACAATAGGAATATTTAACAATATATATTTCGTAACTGTTTGCTTTTCGTCATTTCGTTTTCGAATATAAGAAAGGAGATATTTGAGTAAAAATACGCTGCTGATCAAGTGATAATGCTACAACAATCACTCAATAGTCGTTCTGCATGATAAACTCAGCAAAGACTTTCTAGCTACTGAAGATTTTCACTGTGCTTCTCCTTTGATTCATTTCTTTGTTCTATCTTATCACATTTGGTCTATTGAATCAATTCACTACAAGTATTTGACCAACTCTTCAATACTGTTCACTGTTTCCACAATTCTTACTGTCATTGATCAAACATTGTCGGATGAATTTCTGACACCTCTGTTTGACCTGAAAAATTACCTACCCTAGAGAATTGTTGCCAGAGCCATCATCATCATCATTCTGTCTGTCTGTCTGTTTTCGACATAGAACTTTGCACCGATGTACGACAATTCGAGTCGCCACACTCCGTGTAGCACACAAATCAAGAGAAGAAAGTACAAGAAATGTATGATAGGGACAGTAAACAGAGGTCTTAGACAAAGGAATAGTAATAACGAAGAACGATCAAGTTTCATCTGATATCATAAGGCACAAGGAGTGAATACATCTGCGCCATTGAGAACCATTTTGAGCCATATTACCAATTGTTTCCAACCATTGGTTTTTACCGTCCCGAGGACCCCAACCAGGAAGCCAGTCTACACCTTCCTACGTGGCTTAGACGAACTGTTGTAGATTTCATTGACTGGTGCCATGTTTTGGGTTGACCACCACCAGCTCTTTTCCAGCCTGACCAGTCCTATGTCAGTTAACATTGCCTGTCGAGGAAGGCGATGACTAGTCACACCTAACACATGTCCTAACTATCTCAGTCTTTGTAGCTTCACAGACTCATCGATCGATTTCCCCTCCCACCTTACCTAGCACTCGACCGAAGCCTAACCTCAATATTGCTCACCTTATTTTGCCACTTCACACGGGAGATAGAACGCAGGCACCTATGGTCAAAGACAGCTAACCTTATCATGTCTTCCATTCTCAATGATAGGGTCTATCTCGCAGTCATAAAGGAGGACGGAGCGGACTGATGAGCAGTACATCCGCCCTTTGGTCGATAGTCGGATATCTCGTCTACGACAGAGACGGCGTAAACTGGCATAAGCGAAACGAGCCCCCTGTATCCGTACTGGGATTTCGTCAGAGATCGCCCCGTTGGCACTGGCTGACGGTAATTCCCAAATAAATGAAGCGGTCAACGTGCTCTACCACTTCACTCCCTATTTCTAAACTAGGAGTTAAATGCAGTCCAGTCCTGTAACTTGATCTTACATTTGGTGGGAGTGAATCGCATGCCAAACATTCAAAGATTGCAGCTCATCATCATTTGCATCTTCCGCATTATTACACCATAGTGTAAAGAAGAGTACGCAGAGTATTCGGCTAACAAGTTGTAGAGAAAATTTATGAATTCACTAAGTTATTGCTTTGCTTTCACACATTTTCTACTATTTGCGTATTTTTATTTTATAATTCGCAGTAGAAAAAAAAACAGTTCGTTTTTCTAACATTGAAAAAAAGGCTTCACAGTTACCTTGAGATTGAGGAAATTTTGCTCAAAACTAAAGGAATACAACAATTTGAAGTCGAGTTGATTCTCATCATTTTTGCTAGCAGTTGTACGTAAAAGAGTAGAACTGTCTGGAAAATTAGGTTCTGTCATTTGTAAAGAATCCACTGAAGTATTATTTGATCCAGAAACTCTAGACACTTGCATAATTTGAATTCCTGATCCCCGTCCAAAAGCAATAAATGCTTTGTCTACAGAATCAGCACACCAATACCAATTCATGTAAGGGAGAAGTGCAGGTGGCCCCTAAAAATTTAATGAATTCAAGACTGGTTTAAGATTAGCTTAATACATTGTATTTAATAAGAAAATGTATACAAAATACAAAAATCCAGCATTATTCCAATAAATATTTAACATATTCACTCACATACGCGTAAAATGACCAGAAGTCAATTAACTGTCCAACAAACCTGGTTAGCTACGTTTAATCATCATCACCACCATTATAACTTGTAACTTTGACTATAAGGCTGAATAACTGACTGGTTTCAATATAGAACTTTGCGTGGAAGCACAGCAGTCCAAGTCACCACACTTCAAGTAGCAGACACACACAGGAAGACGAAAAAGTAACATGGAAAAACATAAGGAGTTAATGGATAGAGCAGATAATAAAGAGTGGACATGTCTCCGCTACTGAGAACGATTTCGACTAATATTGTAACAACAGAAGACAAGGCCCAGTCAACAGATCGTTTATTTAGCAAATCAACAGATATTTAGAGATTTTCATGTACATTATTATAGATTATTGTAAGCAAAAAAAAAACAGTCTTCTGATTGGTGGTTGTTTCTCACTGAAAGTTAATCTTTCATCTCTTTGTGGCTGTTTCTTCAAGTTCAAATCATCTATCTGCAAATTGTATCCGCCTACGTGAAGTCTCCTGTGATTGGTTGTTGAGTCAGTCTTTGTTCTTATTTTTCTCATAACCAATATTAGGGGCATAAACATTGACGTAAATTACTGTCTAACAATTTTGGCTAGCAGCCAGCTCTCACCACAATATCGCCAGATCTCTCCAGCCATTGGTTCTCTTAGAATCTCAGCGATCCCACCAGGCAATCTACACTTCCATAGGTGTGTTATGGACGAAAGTACGAATCGAAAACAATGTAAGATACTGGCTGCACTATTGATTAGCTGCAATATAGCATCTTGACTACACGTAATATACCCAGTTACCAAAGACATCAGGACACTTAGAGTCTGTGCGTGTGAACAGCACATAGAAGGAGAGTGAACTGGAGTCCAAGTCTACCCAGATGCATACCCGTTAAAAAAAACTTAAAAACACTTAAAGCATTTGCAGGCGGACTAGACATTTATGGTGGTTAGTATTAACTTGACTCAGTTTGATCTAGTAATTTCAGACCAAGCTTTATTTTAGTGCCATCCAATGTACACCACAACTGGTTAAAGTGAAATATATAGGTGTTGCACAGTAATTCGGTGAGCATTTACCACTAGAAAACTGACCTTTAATGGTTGCCAGTAGGCAACTTGTATGCGAGGACGCAATTGCACAATAATGAACTTGTTAAAAGATGCCATAGCTAGAAGAGCAGACGAATACAAGACTGAAAGTTTGGCTGCTTTATGCTGATTGTCCAACTGTTTCGGATCACGATGTCCATCACTTCGCACAGCATTTAATCCAAGAGCCTCCATAGCACATATTTCGACGCGACTGAAGCAAAACAGATACAAACAATCGGTTCAGTCTATACAAAAATACGTCCTATTCAATTGTAAAAGTATTTTTAAACACTTGCGAAAACAAAAAGATATTATTTTAATTAGACGAATCTATTCTAACGGCCAGATGATTTACCTACCCACCAAACTTCAGCTACCAATAGATCCCATCAATAAATCATTGTGAACCTGATGAAGACAAATTTTTTTTATTCTTTTACGTTTCCAGTGGAACATAGGGCTTCAAGACAGAGGCTTGAAGTTTCGGTAGCAGTGGTGTTGTTTTTACAGGATGGGCGTTGCTAGCCTCATGCCCCACCTTCCCTCTTTACCAGTCTTATTACTGGCACAGCGAGGTAAAGGAGGAGTGCATCGGCCAGCGATCGAATCCCAAACTAACTGCATGGTTGCCGAGCATTCTATCGCAGTGCCACCGATGCACTGATGAAGATATGTTTTAACCTAATTCTTAATTTATATATTTTTGTACTGTATAGGTTGTAAGCAGGTGAAAAACAATGAGCTAAACATGTGAGTTCATACTACTCCGCAATTTTCGTTACGCTGGTCTTGTCTATTGGCGGCAAGTAAAAAAAACAGCCAGACAATTTGTCCATTAATTCGAAATTGTTAAATATTACCGACTACATTTTTTCTGTGAGGTGGGAGATAAATTCAAGAGAGGAAAAAATAATCCACTGAAATCACACATGTCTCGCATACTTTATCCCTCTGACGTGTAATCAACTAGTGGAATGTTGAATCAATAATCTGTTTGTTGAAAACTTACCTTCCAGAAAAGAAGCACATGGATTCAACCTTCATACCGACTAATCCTTTCCTAGAAAGGGGGAAAATAAAACGATATTAGAAACAAAGTAGACGCATATTTAGGACATATGAGCGGGATTACGCAATTCTAGAATCAGGTATAACTGACAGAATGACGGCTTGTTTATTCTCTAAACACTGTTCACTTAGATTGTCAGGTAAAATATCCTGAGCAGCATGATCATCTGCCAGTAGTCCTTTTAAGATAACTTCATGATGAGTATGGTGAACAAATCTGTTGAGCGAGTTCATGCAGATCGAATGCTATCAAAAATGAATGAATATGTTTCAAGACATTATAGAATACAGTGAAACAGAAAAACCTATGAAGAGGAATCACCATGTGTACGGAGATAGTCATTCAGTGAAATAAATGTGAACGGAGTATAATCGAGTAATCTTCCAACAGACTTTATTACCCCATTCCCACTACTGACTTTCACCAGTTTATAAACAGCTACAAATCATGTTAGCTAGGTAAATCCACATGTATTATCTTCAGGTATCGAGTTAGTTCAGACTCGCACCTTTGATTAGAAGTGCAATAGTGACCAACGACAGAAACTCAAAGCACATTCCATGTGCGTCGGTGGCACAGTGGTTAGGACTCTCGCCGACCATGCACATGGTCCGGAGTTCGAGCCCACGCCGGCGCACACTTGATATCTATGGTCGGCCTGCAAAATTTGGGCCACCGATATCCATGCTGAAAATTCCATACTTGTACCGAAAATACAGTGTGGAATCAAGCTGTAAATCAAAAATAAAAAAAAAATAAAAAAAATTCATTGTATTACTGTCGGAAGAATCAGTAACTATTCGAGTACAACGACTATAAGCCAAACAACTATGCTGAATGAGGCTTTTAACTACAAACAAGCTCTAAGGACATCTGAAACCATAAATGTCAACATTAATTGAATTAATAAGTAATTTATTCGAACATACATCGATAAAACAACAGAGATTTGTAAATCACGGGATAAGAGTAGAAAATATTTAGTGTTTCCTAAGCTTCGACATTATATCGTGGAGGTTTCGACATATAGCGTGGCGATGTTTTGAGCACTAAATCCACGCAATTTATAAGAAATGGAAATATTACAAATCCTTATGATGAAACATCTAATTCAATTTTAGATTTTCCAGTCGATTGATTGGACTGAAGTGCTCGGTCTCATCCACCGAATAACTTCTAAATTACATGTCAAGACATCGTCGAAGCATCTGCACAAGAAGCCGACATGTCAACCTGAGACTGAGCACTTCGGTCCACTCAATCGACGGGAAAATACAAAATTAAATTAAGTAATTCATAAGACCATTTGCACAAGATGTGGCTCTCCTGGCTCAAGTGGTCTAGTGGATGACGCTTTGGCGTTTAAACTACGGGCACTGGGTTCGAGCCTCGGTGGGAACATCATCACCCACTGTGGAATGCAAGTACATCCGAATGACCAGTCCCAAAAAGGACGAAATACACATCCTGGATTCCCCTTCTAGTCACCATCCACCAATTAACTTATGATGAGAAGTCCACGACCAAATAGCGAATTTTACAGGAAACCGAACAATTCCTTGAAAAATTCATTATGTGAATTAAAATCCACCCAACAGTGGAACTGAATGAGTGAGAATGTTCAATGAATCAGGTTAGCAGAATACAATTTATGCAGTGGTTAATTAATATGATGAATTGACTGTCTGATGAAAATGCGAAAAGGAATACATATATTTAGAAATTAACAAAGAAATAAAACACAGACAATTCAGAAAAGCTTTTCGCAGTAAAACTACATCTTGACCTACGTGAACTTGAGTTGAAATACCGATCCACCAGTGTCGACACAAGCAGCCAGTGAAGAAACAGTGGTAAAAGAACAAAGACTGACAGAATGGTCAACGCCGTGTGCATCATTGATGACGCATAAAAGGCGTCCGTAACTACTTGTATAGGTTAAAGAAATGGAACTTCGCTTTTTTGGGGCCATCGAAATTTCTTGTTGCAAAGAACTTTGACTAGAGTTGATGTCATCATGCTGTGCTGTTCCTGTGCTGTCAGACTCATCATCTGGATCATGAAGACGGCCTTTTATTGTATCTTGTTCAGATTCGTCACATAAGAGTGAAGCAGGAATTTGCCAAACTGCAATTCTACCACTGCGGTAAACAGACATTAACAAAGTGCCAGTCGGGTTTTGACTTATAACAGTTATTGGACCTTGACCTTCACCAGCTTTTGCTTCAGGAGAATTTGTCGGACTTATGTTACCAAAACAAAGTCTCAAAACTTGGTGTAAATCTATGTAATTCAAGAAAAGCAATCTTAAATGTAATGCGACTGATATAAGAAAGGCGGTACTGAGAATGCATCACGTGTCCATCTTTTGAATAATAACATTGAATGTGTATTTATGCAAGCGATAATTAAATATATCTGAGTATAAAGGCGATACATATTCTCAGTTAGTCTGGCATCACATCTAGTCTGTTGTATAAACAGTAGTGAAGGGTGTTGATAACCTGCACACAAAAATTAGTAAATCACAGTGAATTCCTATAGCTCTGTCAAAAGTGATCGGTACAAGGAGACTGATTCTGGTAGGCTGCCTAAAAGACAAGGAGAAAGGTTTACCTCCGGAATGTGACAACTTAAATAATCATTGTTCTCTCCTTTTACAGTTTCCCCTGTCAAGTATTACAAAGTGTAAATGGAGACTATATAAAACATTTGAAGTGGAAAATCTTAAATGACTGACCATTCATTGTATTATTCAACATTTCTACCAAAAAGCGGTTGCTTGATTAGAGTACACCCATTTTTCGTTATTTACAGTGGCAGTAAATGATGAATATCTAGACTAACATTATCAGACATATTTCTGTGCATCAATTCATTTGTCGCTTTCGTAAACTATAAGTACAGAAGCATTAGCACAATTATTGGGTGGGAGATAAAAGTTTGTAGCATATTAGATCAATATGTTACCGGGCCTTAGATCACACAGCTACTTCACACTTTGACAGCTATCATGAGTTTCCTGTCGATATGATTAATTCAACCACTGTTTTAAAATCCACAACAGAAAGCAAGTTTACGAATATGATATGATATTCAAAGAAAATTACTGACAGAGAGGTAAACCGAACCTAGCGGTAGTACCTGGCCGCTCGAACTTCATTAAGTAAGACTTCGGGTGCGTACATACATACAAATGACAGAAACAAACTATATCTTGTTGTCTTAATATCACTCGAGTACTGATCGTTAAAGCATTTATGCGTGAATATATATATATATATATATATATATATATATGATGAAATGAACTTTGTTAAGTATGCGGACGATCTAACTATTTCAATGTCTGTTGGCTCCTAACTAAACAGTACAAAGATGAACAGCTTTCTATCAGGAGTCAACAAATGATCTTCGTCTAATGGCCTTACACTAAATCCTTCCAAATGTCACACCGTTAATTTCAGTTTCCGATGTAAAAGAGAGTCAAACGAAGCTGTTGGTTCCTATGATCGTGGCGAAATTGATGATAGTGATATGAAAAAATCGAGTGTGAAGTTAAATATCTTGGATTGATTCTTTCTTCTGACCTCTCCTGTTCTTCACATGTCTTAGGGATTTCTGAAACAATATTTCGTCTGACCTCTTAAATTGAGAAGTTAAGGCGCTCAGGCATAACCCAACCCCTCTTCTTACAGTTTGCCAACTCGTGTATCTTACCTATTCTTCCTCACTGTTTACCCTTATTCTTTCCTGGATTGCTTAAAAAAGACTATGTCATACTTCGTAGAACTTTGAAGACTGACTGTCAGTAGGGCAAGTGGAATTTAATCACGCCATAAGCGTTGACATTGTCATTGAAAGGCACTTGATGTCAAGCAACGAATTCTAGACTTCCGGGTTGGGGTCCTCGAGACGCTAAAAACCAGTGGTTGGAAACACTTGGTGACATGGCTCAAAATCGTTCTCAATGGCTGGCTGGCGCAGATGCATCCACTCCTTGTGACTTATGATTTCCAATGAAACTGTTTTGTTCTTCGTTATTACTCCTCCTTTGTCTCACACCTCTGTTTAATGTCTCTATTATGCTTTTCTTGTACTTTCTTCTCTTGATTTGTGTGCTACATGGAGTGTGGCGACTGAAACTGTCGCACATCGGTGCAAAGTTCTATGTCGAAAACAGACAGACAGACAGTTCATCCGAACTGCAGTCTGTTGGGGCGTAAGGGGAGACTACGAAAAGGCAACGACGAGTAGCTCCGTCTTTCCTTCTTTTAACGGACCCATTCAGACGGACCGCGCACATACGACTATCTACTGGGATCCACCCAAGAAGTGATTTTTCCGCCCTAACACTCGGTGCTATCCCTACACCTGCGAGCCCTCGACAGCTGGCTAAGGGGTCTCCTGACTCCTTTAAATTGAATTTTGCAGATTCACCTTGTTGACCGGATGAGGTTAAGTGAATGACCCCACACTCGGGTTTTGTATGCGTGTATCCGAAACAAAACATACATCCGTGGCTCGAGATGCCAGCGTTCTTGCTAGTGATGCCTGTTTTCCGATTTGGCAGAGGGTCCTGACGTTAAATGCTCCTATATGAAGTTGGCAAAGTGGCTTTAAAAGGCTATCTGAGATGTTTCTATGGCTCTCACAGAGTGAAGTGAAGATGACTCATTAGCCTGCAGAATAGTACTAAGTGTAGTAGCGAAGCAAGATGAGGAAGGTGATGTGAGTGAAGGGGAATGATGCTCAGAAAGGCTTCGTGTGCTTTTGGAAGTGTGTGGGCGATTGTTACCTCCCGGCTGCCCACACCGTGGAAGTTGATCAATTCTTCGGGTACCTGAGACAGAAAGAGGGTTAGTGTCGCGTGACCACAGAGACCTGGGGACAACTGCTTGAGGCCGGTCACACACGGCCTGTATGAACTGGTTTCTGGGTTTGGTTCCGTATTAGTAAACTTACCGCCGGTTACGGACCACCGTAGGGTAAGTCGGAATGTACAATTTTTGGGGTCGACGTTTTCTAACCCCCTCCCTCCGGAGTGGAGAGACAGCATAACTAGCATTCTGGTCATTTGAGGTAAACACCTCACTGCTGTTACACTCCTGTTCCCCAACAGTACGACTTCGCCCTCAGACCCCAGCATAGTGTAAGAAATATTCTTACGCTGAGCCGATAACTGCTTTTAGTTTAATCGCTAATCTAACAACCTTCCTGGCATGGTAGGACCTGCAGCAACATTTGTTTCAGCCAGTGTTGGGTCATCGCGATGTGCAGGCCCGACCACCACGCCAAGGTAGCAGCTATCGGTCGGGCTTGACAAAGGAGCACAGAGAAGAACTTAAAAAACTCATAAATGATGAGAGACTGATAATCACAAAGCCTGATAAAGGATCAGGAGTAGTCCTCCTTGATGGAAGTGACTATATTAAAAACATGAGTGATATATTTAACGCCACACAGAAGTTCCAAGAACTTGTGGAGAAGAAAGACTTCAATAACAAAATAGAGAATGAATTAACCAGACGTTTGAAGAAACTAAAGGAGGAGCAGATATTTTCTGAAAGTATATATGAAGAAATCAGACCAACGGGCACGTATACGCGAAGACTGTATGGCCTACCTAAAGTGCGTTAACCAGGGGTACCGTTAAGACCAATACCTGATAAGCCGAATTCGCCCTACCATGCTCTAGCTGGATAGTTATCAAATATTCTCAAACCTTTGCATGAGAAGATAGTGAAATATAGCGTCAAAGATGTATTTAAATTCGTAGACAAAATCAAAAATATTAATATCAAGGACAAAACCATGACATCTCTAGACATAACATCTTTATTCACAAATGTACCTCTAGTAAAAAAAAGTTAACTAAATATGTGAAGAAGTGGATAACCAGTCGATAAACATCGGCGTCCGTACTGAATTCCTAAAAGAATTGTTAAGGTGTACCATGAATGTAAACGTCAAATTTGACGGCATGCTTTACAGGCAAGTGAACGGAGGTGATGGACTCCCCGTTGAGTCCCATTTTGGCTGATTTCTTTCTAAGTAAGCTAGAAAATGGACCTTTGAACAACCTTATCAGTAAGTTCTCATTTTATTGCCCGTATATGCATGACATCTTCATTCTTTGTGATAATGATTCGGATAGGAGAACAATAATTACTGAATTCAATGAAGTACATTCTACTATGATTTTCACGTGCGAAGAGGAATCCCAAAACATAATTGCCTTCTTCGATGTCTTCCTAACAAGAAGACCAGATGGTAGCATAAAAAGAAATTTTCACAGAAAAAGTACATGGACAGGATATTATACGCAATTTCACAGCTTCGTTTCTCTCCAGTACAAAAGAAATTTAGTAGACCCTCAGCCACAGGGTTAGCGCTATATGATCAGAAGAGGTAATTGAAGATGAACTAAGGATTGTATGTGATACCTTGATTGAAAATAGCTATCCTGACAAATCTGTCAAGAAACCCATGACAACGAAAGCGGAAAAGGACTACTAACTATCCGTACACAAGAAGCATCTTTAAATACGACTGCAATTCAAGGGAGATAAAGCAAGTGAAATAATTACGAAGAAATTAAGAAAATCAGTTCAGAGAACTTTTAATGCTGGCGAACTACACGTCTTATTCTCTACACGACCGATGATGATTCCTCAACTGAAAGATGAAGTACCTAGACTAGCCATCTCAAATTGTATCTACCAATTCAACTGCACTTGTGGTGGAGTGAGTTATATCGGCCGTTGCTTTAGGAACTTGATTTTTCGTGCTAGAGAACATCTCCTAGTATGGCTAAGTAAAGATGTAGTGAAAACCATCAAGAGTTCGACATTAGACCAAGTGGTCCAAACCGGCCGACCACAAAGCCAGTCAGCATTGAAGAATCGTTCCCTATCATCCTCTACCGGGTGCCAAAAAAATTGTAGAAAACATCAAAGTACCGTATGCTCCAAACATCAGAGGCTATCGAGATTCGCTTGAAACAACCAGTGCTTTGTACACAGTAGAAGCAAGTCCAGCTAGCCACCACTAGTGCCCTGGCCTTCAGTAGAGATTATAAATTCATGAATTTGTATCATTATCTTTCCTAATTTCTCTGACATTCAGTGTGTGTTGTTATGTTGATGCTATCGAACTGTAGTCCATTGACATTACTATTAATATTGATTCGATGTTATTTAAACAAAAACATAAATTTTGTTAAAAACAATTATTCATTCATTCACTATTATGGATGGATATATAACTGTAGATCCTGATGATGAAGTTATCCAGAAGAGTACTCTTTGTTCAGTGTCCATTCTTTTGAATATATATATATATATATATATATATATATATATATATATCACTAAAAATCACTCAACAACTATGATCACAACCGAAAAACTATAGACTCACTGAAAATAAACACGACCCCTTTGCTAGTGCCAATCGCCAAATACTTACGAAACGACTAAAAGAAGAATATATAAATTAGAATACCAAAATCTTTATGACCTGAGAATTTGACATGAAGAACGAACATTATTTAAAATTACCCATGAACTTTCATTATAAAAATAACATCCCTAATCAATATAATTTCGTGAATCAAGGAAATAATGCTGTTCAAAATCTAAAGTAGACAATCACGACAACTTTAAAAAGCAATGTGACACATGAGTGAAACTGTGGAACGCTAAAAGTGACTTATGCATCTAATCATCAAAGACATAAAAAATTCTGCGTACTAATACTAATACTCTGAAAACTTGCAATTAATAGTGCCCTCTGAGCTGAAAACTCACTTAACACTAGTACGATATCTCGAAGTGTCAGGGGTTAGGTATTCAAACTATGAGATACCCATCGCGACCAGCTTCATACCCATCAGTCCATTCACAGCGAATTTGAATAGGAATATTGACTTGGTAATTCTAACAGACTCCAGTGGTTGCCGTCAGTTAAAATAAACACTCTTCACAAGCTCATATGAGTCTAGAAAAGTTTCAGTCAAGTTTCTTGACAAGTACAATAAAAACTTTTCTGTACTCCCTTCACATCCAAACATTTCTACAGTAAGTCATCGTCGACTGAATCAATTGCTGTCATTAGGTCTGTCTGTATGACTGGCTGAATACCCAATTACGTCAGCATTATGACACTTACTAGTTAATGTCCTGAGTGACGGTAAGCAGAAAAGTCGGTCACAAGGAAAGCGGTTTAAAAGTAACTTCATACGGAACCACTTACCTGATAGAAAATACTTTGAAAACAGTAAAAGCATAATGTTTCCTGTGTTGTGAACTTTTCTTATAATACGTATCTAATCATATTCATATCTCTACCGCTATTAACACTCTTTTTCCCTTTACACGTTTAAGCCATTCCGGCTTCATTGTAAAATGAATAAAGCCTAAATTCTTGGTTCATTCGTCTTTTCAAGATTCAAGCATCACTCATCGTTCTAAGACTCAGTCACCTTCGTAACAATTTATTCATTTTACAATATTCATGGAACGATTTTTCCGACCTGATTGGTTCGACTTAGAACCTAACGCAGTTGGAGCTGCCAAGAAGTGGGATCACTGGTTTGCGACTTTTTCCTACTTCATTGAATCAATGGGATCCGAAAATCCTTCGAAACTACATATTCTCTTCAATCATATTTCTACTTCTGTGTACGAATGCATTTCTGAATGCAAAACATACGAAGAAGCTATCGACACTCTCAAGAGTCTCTACAAGCAGCCTTGCAACGAAGTGTTTGCTCGACACTTGTTAGCAACGTGTAAACAAGAATCTGGCAAAAATCTGGATCAGTTTGTTCGTCGACTCTAGTGGATACCGGAAGCAGTGAGAGCTACATCTCTTCCTCAGTTGTTCGTAAGTATAACTGGAAAGTCCATAAGTCTCGAAACAGAATCACAATGGCGAGTACGAATCTTACTAGTCATACTGAAGGACATTGTTTTCTATCCATCTGCTATAAAAACCAACTTATGATCTATTCAAATTTTCCATTCTTCATAATTTATGTGCAGACGTCCTTCTTGGACATGATTTTTTAAAACTTCACAAACACATTGAGATTCCTTTTGGGGGATCAAAGCCGCCTTTTTCTCTCTGTGGTCTACCTTGTGTTCGCGTCGACCTGCCTACTCTGTTTGAAAATCTTTCAAAAGACTGTAAACCGATCGCGATAAAATCCCGGCGTTATTCTCGTGAAGATGAAAGTTTTATTTCCACCGAAGTCAACCGGTTACTGCAAGAAGGTGTTATTGAACCTTCTAATTCTCCTTGGCGAGCTCAAGTTCTTGTTACGTCAAACGAACGCCATAAAAAGAGGATGGTAGTTGATTATAGTCAGACAATCAATCGATTCACTTTTCTGGATGCTTACCCATTACCTAGGATTGACGAAATGATAGAAAAAATCGCACAATATGACATATTCAGCACTCTTGATCTGAAGAATGCTTATCATCAAATTGCCCTAAGGAACGAAGATAAACCATATACTGCTTTCGAGGCTTGTGGGAAACTTTACCAATTTTGCCGAATTCCTTTTGGTGTTACCAATGGCGTAGCTTGTTTTCAACGCATTATCGATGAATTGATCAGTAAAGAACAACTCACAAGCACGTTTGCCTACATTGACAATGTCACTATCTGCGGCAAAACTCAGGAGGAACACGACAAAAATCTAAACAAGTTTATGGTAGCAGCACGCAATTATGGAATAACCCTTAATGATTCCAAAAGTGTGATCTCAAGCAGAAGCATACAATTACTCGGTTATGAAGTTTCAAAGGGGTTATTAAACCAGATCCCGATCGGCTAAAACCTCTTCGTGATCTAGAACCACCCACAGATATCAAATCTCAACAACGGGCCGTTGGATTATTTGCTTATTATTCACAGTGGATCCCTCGCTTCTCAGATAAAATCCACCCATTGGTAAATAATCGGATTTTCCCTCTTGATATCGAAACTCGAAATGCTTTTGACAAACTGAAAGACGACTTAGAACGTGCAGTCGTTGTGGTAGTTGATCCGAAAGCACCCCTTGTTGTTGAAACAGATGCTTCAGATGTCTCAATTGCAGCTACATTAAACCAGAATGGTAAACCTGTCGCCTTCTTTTCTCGAAGTGAGAAACATCATTCATCGGTTGAGAAAGAAGCCTATGCCGTGGTTGAAGCAATTCGTAAGTGGAAGCATTACCTTCTCGGAAATCACTTCAAACTTGTCACTGATCAACGTTCAGTAGCATTCATGTTTGACAAGATTCATAAAGGCAAAATCAAGAACGATAAAATAATGCGTTGGAGAATTGAGCTATCCCCTTATCAATATGACATCATTTATCGTCCTGGAAGGGATAATCAAGCTGCTGATACATTTTCCCGTAGTTTCTGCGGTTCCTTGCAGTCAGTGTGCGACTTGAAATTTCTCCATGACTCTATGTGCCATCCTGGAGTTGTCCGAATGATGCATTTTGTACGCTCGAGAAACCTTCCATTCTCCCTTGACGAGGTGCGCAATGTAACCAGTAAATGCGTGACATGCTGTGAGTTAAAGCCTCAATTTTACAATCCCTCTAATTTCAAACTCATAAAAGCAACCCAACCTTTTGAAAGGTTAAGCATCGACTTTAAAGGACCTCTACCGTCAGCTAGCCGCAATCACTATCTGCTCACGCTGATCGATGAATATTCTCGATTCCCCTTTGCATTCGCCTGCCCCGACATGTCGTCTCAAACGGTAATGAATTGCCTTTGCCAACTGTTTTCGATTTTCGGTATGCCTTCTTACATACATACCGACAGAGGCGCTGCTTTCATGTCTACCGAATTACGGGCATTTCTTCTGGAGAAAGGCGTAGCAACCAGTCGTACTACCTCATACAATCCTCAAGCCAATGGGCAGGTCGAGCGCCTCAATGGAACACTTTGGCGTGCCATCACTCTAGCATTAAGATCACGGGGCCTACCAACGGCACAATGGGAGTCTGTTCTACTCGACGCCTTGCATTCCATCAGATCTTTGCTCTGTACTGCAACGAACGCCACGCCACACGAACGACTGTTTACCTATAACCGAAGATCGACATCTGGGACAACTCTTCCTACTTGGCTCACTGTACCAGGACCAGTACTTCTCCGGCGGAGTGTTCGTCAGTCCAAATTCGATCCCCTGGTTGAAGAGGTGGAGCTATTGAATTGTAACCCGCAATTCGCTCACGTTCGCTTCGGTAATGGACGTGAAGATACAGTTGCTCTTCATCATCTGGCACCCAAAGGCGAAGATATAGATCAAGTTGAAAATTCAATACCGGAGGGCGACGCAATTCCTGAGCAACAAGTAAATGGGGATGCGACCACTGATCCTAATATTCTTCGTGAAGAAAATACAACTGAAACGAACAACGGGCGTATTCTTTTGGAAAAACAACAACGTGTACGGCCTTACAATTTGCGTACCAGAGAAGCGTGACATAATGGCTCATTCCTTTTCAAGCCGCAGTGAATGTTGTGAACTTTTCTTATAATACGTATCTAGTCATATTCATATCTCTACCGCTATTAACACTCTTTTTTCCTTTATATGTTTAAGCCATTCCGGCTTCATTGTAAAATGAATAAAGCCTAAATTCTTGGTTCATTCGTCTTTTCAAGATTCAAGCATCACTCATCGTTCTAAGACTCAGTCTCCTTCGTAACATCCCGACTGAAATATATAAAGTAGGCACTTAGCTACGCATTACCTGTGGGCGAAATGAAATAGCACAGTCCAAAAACCTGAGACCGAATTTACTTAAGATAAATCACCTATTTATACCTGTAACCTGAAAAACATCTACAGCTAGAACTTTTACTTTTAACATGTATCGTGTTTGAAAACCTTTTGATATTGAAAACAGAGAACTTACTATACATGAGGGGTCTCCAACAGTGCCTTTCAGTACAGCGTTCCTAAGCTGACTGGATACAGATGACAGGAGAACCTTTCGAATAAACACTGAAGTGCTAGATTGTTTGGATGACTGAACAGATTGTAGAGAGGCTGGAGAGCATGTCCTCAGAGTAGCACTCTCATCTAAAAAGTTTATAAGTGCAAGTATGATGGCATACCGATAGTAGCTTGAAGTAAGTCCGCCTCAATATCGGAATCAATCCTGTCTTCCTCGGATATAAAAGAGCCCTCCAAACTAGAAAGATCAGGAGAGCTTATCGAGGTAAGACTTTTCGTAAAATCACTCATTTTCAAAAATCATTAGGTAACGTTGTAAGCCTGTTTAGAAAGAAATGGACAGCTGCACCTACAAAACAGAAAAAGAAACACTGAATAAGAAAGGCAAAGATAATCTGCAAATTAAGAATTGTTTTTTAACGAGAAAGTACACACCTGAGGTGCTAGTTAAAATGCAGGATTATGGTTCCTTCATTTGTGTCAAGTTCATTGAAAGAGTTAGACATCTGATCTATTACATTTGCATGCTCAACAATTACAACAATATAGGGGGACAAGTAAGGCAATACCAACAATTATGCAGTGTATACATCAGTTTAGAACGCGTTAAGACGTTGTACGATGTTAGACATCCAAATTTGAGAATGGGAAAACTGAACACGAAAAAAGATGGATAGAGGATGTGTTCATCATTGAATTCAAGTGGAAAAGTATACGTCCCCGACATAGTGACACGATATAGTACAGCTGAAGAACCATTGTGGCTCTCGTCACTATCGATTTCTACTTTGATAGTACCTTTCGTTATGTGTGACCTTCGAAGCTCGTTGTCGTCTGATGATTAGCTCTAACATTTCCAGTCAAAGTTCCCTACTGATTTCAATGAAGTATGGGCTATTCGACACGTGGACATTACTATACTTTAAATTGAAAGATCTTTAAACTCGATACCTCTTGACCATTACATTCAATAATGATCTGATGTTCACCTTCTGCATGTGATTCATACACATAAGACTTGTTTCATTATTAACTTTAGCTTTTACATTTACGTCGAATGGGCTTCCTAGTACAATAATATCATTTACGCGTAAATGCAAAGAATTAAGAGCGGAAGTACCGTTGGCATTATCTTGACACTCTATATCTACATTACTTCCTACTTCAACTGAAAGGCTTACGCTAATATAACTTGGATCTTGTTTATCCACCGTGAACCGATTTGGTTTATTGGGTAAAGTCCCATATGAAACCTGATCCACCGACATGTACACGCCTAGGATCATCTATTTTTTTTCTCAAAGACGTGAATCCAAAAAGGAGCATTAACAATATACCTTACAGCTTGAAATACACTAACCATATATCCACTATTCTTTGTAGTATAAGCTTCATACTATTGTGCTGGTTATCATTGGAGAAAACTTCACAAATAAGCATGACCGAAAGGATAGGATGACCATGAAAACAAACCTGTATCTGTAGTATGCAACCTTAATTCAAACTAATCTACAACATTTGTATATGGCGAATTCATTAGAAAAATGTGTCTAGCCTTTATGAAGGTTAGGATCCATTGCTATAACTTAGTTGGCTGTACCGTTCTAAGGATAACTATAGATCGAAGAACAGAGTGACATTTAAAGAAGAAAACAGCACATACTAACCAATCAACCAAAACGAGCATACTGGAACACGAGAGGAAGAACACGGAGTTCGGAAGTGAGCAGTACTGTTTTATTATAACAGAGTAAGTTTAAAGTTTAGTCATTTATGTTCGGTCCCTTTACATTTTCCGATAGTTGGTCGACTTATATTCATATGGCCCGTATCTACAACAGGAAAAATACAGTTATACGGCAATTATAAAGAGTACATATCACTTTGGCAAGTGTTACAACTATCCTACCTTAAAAAGAAGGCACTGTCGCTGTTCCGGTACGCCGAATCGGACAAATCAGTCATCCATCTGCTAGAACATCACACAGCAGTATGAGAGGTCAACGTGATTGAGTGATGCATGGGCTTCAACTCGTTATAGTGCACCACCAGGACCTCTTCCAGCCGGCGGGGATGCCGGATATTCAGACCAGAGGACAACGTTTAGTCCACAGTTATGGCATTGCTAACAATTTTAATCTTTTTATAGAATGTAAAGCAGACTCAAGTTAGGAAGAGTTTCATATGCTGTATGTGTCACCAAAAGACTAAAGGCGTCGTGTTCCAAATGGAATTTATTAGTCTCACAATTATTATGAAACTGTAGCACAGAATAGCTCCGGTTCTAACTTTGCTACCGGTAATTTTTGGCAGAACCAATTCATTATCACTAATTTTAACACAAGAGCTCGTTTCAAGCGGAAATACCATTAATCCCAACTCATTTTTGAAATCAGCTTACAACAAGAGGGTAAACGTTAGAAACACACCTACCGCGATGAATCCCTTTCCAATCCTAATCTACGAAGCGAGCGAAACATTTGCTGTTTACACACATTGGTAAAAAATATCTTGCTCACCGTCATCACCTACTGTTCCTGTTTAAAGCCAAGTATTCCCGCACACCCGCATCACGCTCTCGACCATCTCTGCCTAAAACAGTAGACCGATTACAGGAAAATTGTTAACACAGTGAATCAAGAACATCCAGTTAATTATTGGAGCTTCATCACTCCTTTTAGTCTTGCGGTGGATGCCCACGAGAATTCGAACGGGATTTTGTAATTGCTGATGGTAAAAAATAAATCGGCTGGGTGAGTTGAATACTTCTGTCACTATATGCCTACAGTTTAGTTGGGCGTAGCGCCTTAATATCTTTCCAGGCTTTTAGATGTAAATTAGAATCCAATTTGAATGAATTGTTACAGCTAATCACTTGCTTAAATCCAATCGTCAACTCAAATTCATCACCTAAATCAAAAAGGTTGGTTGAAACGTCCAGATCTGTCATTTAGACAATCATAAAAGAAGTACGTGGTATCAAAAACAGCTTGTCAAACCATATAACTAATTCCACTAAACATAACAGTAAACGGCTAAATAAGATTTTTTGATTAATCACAGTGTTATACAGTAATATTAACTGATGAAGTTTCGTTACTATTACTGTATAACACTGTGATTTATCAAAATGAAATCTTATCTCTAATGGAGTTATACTCTACCACAGTGCCTGAGTTTTATACTTATATCAGTAAACGACTAGACTTAACTACAGCGTACCGAAGAAACGATCAACTGAATGACCTTTAACAATCAAGGCGTCGCTTAGATAGAAAACTATGTTGCCTGAGACAAAATAATTACAATGATTACAATCTCTTATACTTACTATTTTTTTATTACAGCTTGATTCCACACTGTATTTTTGGTACAAGTATGGAATTTTCAGCATGGATATCGGTAGCCCGAATTTCACAGGCCGACCATAGATACCAGGTGTGCGTCGGCAGGGGATCGGACCCCGAACCATGTGAATGGTCGGCGAGAGTCCTAACCACTGTGCCACCGACTGTACCCCTGTCCGTCAATGTGGCTGGCGGTACTCCAAACATCTTTTCTCAGTGATATCATAGAAATGATTGCTGTGAATGTTTCTGCAGAGCCGTTCACTACCACGTGCTTTACTATTCGTCATGGTCGCTATATCTTAGTCTTGTTCAATACATGTATTTCGCTGTCACAGGAAAATGTCGAAGGGATATATAACGACCTAAGCTCATACGCAACCCTTAACACGACCTCTAGCGCAAATTTACCGAATACGAATGCAGGCATATCACAATTGGCTAAGCGCTGGATAAGTCACATTAATTTTCACTCATTTACCTCATTATCCGACTGCTAAACACAGCTTGGTAGCCAATAATGTGTACAGATACACGGTTCATTGGTGTTGTAGAGCAGCGTAGTATACAGTTCTTTGGAAGAACACATGTGCTGAAATAAGTAAAGACTATCAATGAATGTCTTATTGGGAGACATTCGAGGGATTTACTCCGCAGCTACATTTCAACCCCAACTTCAGTTGTGATGTAAACATTATAACACTAGTCAATGTTTTATTCTCTCTATTTGCAGGAAGACATCCGGGAGTCAACTGTCTGGACCAGGAGATACAAGAATTAAAGAACCTAATCTGAAAATCTGAAATCTAAACATTGAGGAGGACCAGTAAAACTGTTATACTCAGAAACTGTACTCCCACACTTTTTAAAAGTCAATTTTGTGGGATAAACGCTCTCCTGCACGGCTTTCTGCTTTCATTACCTGTGTGTCTGCTGGTTTCCAAAAATAACGCCAATATCCATCAGCTGATCAAATGACCTACGTCCGTCTACAGGCTGCCTACAGGCTGCCGTATAAAACCTTTTTAATTACGCGCCTTCATTATATACTCATCTGATTGGCTGATCAAGGTCATTGCATCTGTTGACTAGGGTCAGACGACTAGGTCGCTATTTTTAAAAAATCTAGCACTTCCCAGTAAAATGAATTGATTTATTCATAATTAACGTGCATAATTTGTAGAAAACTTAATATGAACCGTGAAATGAAAGCGGCAGCCTGTAGACGGCCGTAGGTCATTTGATCAGCTGATGAATATTGGCGTTATTTTTGGAAATGACGTCAAGGTTATGTCATTTTTCGTTGTTTTACACACTTTTTTACATATATTCCAGTTAAAAGTTGATGAAATACGGCGTATTTAGCAGAAATAGGCAATGGTGGTGTCCTTATCCGGCCGTAGCTTACAGGCAGTTTGCAGTTTTTTGGAAAAACGTACTTTTCCGTTCAAAATACGTCGAATTACTTGAAGAAACATGTTATAATGATCCTTTCGTGAATTTTCTTTGCATTTTAATGGATTACACATGGACATGACGAGGTGGGATAGCTCGTTTCGGTAATTATATCATTTACTTCCTTGTTTAATTTTCGTAATGCTGACAAGGCTACTCCATATGTATTTCTTTAGGAAAAATCTTCAGAAATACTTAGAAATTATAAACGCAAAGTAATTCCTTTTTTTATGGCATAAACTTGATGTTTGCAGGCAGATGCAATATGGATTTTATATTATTGAAAACTGTGGACTTACATAATTATATACAATTCAAGTAATTATTTCGTCATTTTAAACATATTTAATGGTTAGTTATTGTGTTAACACTGATAACAATGTCTATATCTGTATATATCTTATGTCCTTTTTCAGATAATATCTACTTTCGGGAATTTCATGGATTTCGTTGATAAAGAAAAAGATACCTGCACTGTTGTCGATTTTGTATGACATGTTAATTCATTAATAAATGTATTCCTCGTTAATCGTTTGTTTATTCTACTTGATAAGACCGAATATTAGCCCTTGCGTAATATGTGAGGTATAGAGTATATGAGGCTATCTTTGAAATACTAAGTAGTAGCAGATATTTGGAAAAGCCTATTGGTAAAAGATTATGTTGTGGTCAAATAAAGTAAATATGTCTAAACCGTAGAAGAGCTCTTGCGATTATAAAGCGTTTCGAGTTATCTATCGTCATAGCAGAATACGTAAACTGATTCCCGATTCATAGTCACAAAGTGAGAATAAATTTACCTGTGATAGTTTGCTTGTGATTTCTGCATTTCGCAATGTAACATAAGGAGAGACTATACCTATGCTGTTAGATGTATAACTCAGTGCAACTACGGTTATCGTAATAATTAAAAACAGAATGCCTAGGGCTCTCACCCACGGAACACGATGCGTTGCTATCTGCTCCTATAACCACGTAAACAAAAGTTTTCCAGACACCGCATTTACTCCTAACAGTTTACCCTCAACTCCTAACTTCGCACGAGTTACTTATGTTACTGGAACACAATCGCATTACAACAGAAGGAAGACAGATTCATTGAAAAATTGTTTATTAAACAAAAATCAGATTTCAAATGTACAGATAATTCAGATGAGTAGTCCTTTGTTACCGTCAGTAAGTTCCATCTGAGAACACGGCACATATATGTTTTTCCATAAGTCTGAAAAGGTTTAAGAAAGGCATAATTAACTTGGGTATTACATGCATGATCTGAATAAAAATTTTTTCCTGATAAGCATTTACAAGTAATCACTTTACAAACAATATATATATGTACATATAAGTAGCCCAATAGTTTTCACTAAACTTAAGGGACTTTGCAACCTATCGCTGGTCGATATCCAGTAGGTCCATTGAAGCATCGTGAAATGATAAAATTATCTAACAACAAGTTATGCAGTAGTTTTCAAAGCTTGTACAAATATTTTAGCAAAAATAACAACCACTTTATGACAAATAATAGGTATTGACAGCAATAATAATGACATTCATGTTCATAGTGACTATAAAAACAATAATAGGTATTATCATCGCAACGAATTCATCATTAACTTAGATAGACAACTAATAATTATACAATCATGTCAAATAAATGTATCACTTAATCTTAAGAAGCATGTGTTTACTTACTTTCACTGTATTCTATCAATAATGATGTGCTCAACAAGCTTATTCCAAATGAATTCAAGATTAATTCTGAAAGTGAGTGAAGATCCAGCTTGTGTCAAATAAAAACATGTAACTTACATGTATTACACTGCTTACTGAGACATCTGATACCTGCTTTCCGATCTTCGTGACAAGAACACAGTTTATCTAGGTTTACCTACATATACATGAGTATATGTATATGCTGCATGAACCATGCCATTTTGATCATGATTAGCCAGACCACTGTGTATATCATACTTATTTAAGGATCTCTGAAAATAATGGTCAAGCAATAATTGAAGTTGCGTGAAGTTATTACCTCTTCAGAACATTGTTTGCATTCTTCACACCCCTAAGAAGTCCTTAGATCTTAATTTGGCATGAATTCGTTGAATTCAGCAAATAAATCCACCGGTATTTCATTTCCCTCCTGAGCTGTAATAGTTTGTGTTGTCAGTTATCTCTCAAATTTGATAAAACGATCCCGGAAATTCAGAACTTAACCAAGCAGCAAAATGATGTTTGAAATTACCTCAACTAGAATGACAAACTGGCCAATCACGAGCGAGCTAATCGCTTGTTTATCTCATTCGCGGTCACTCAAAATTACGGCCGTCTACAGGCTGCCAATGAAAGCGGCAAGATAAGAACCCCGTTAACGTGACCCCCGATAGTAATTCAACCAATCAGACTAATGTCGATCAATCTGTCTCACCCTCATGTCTGTTCTGTTCAGACACCCAGAATATGTCACCTTCCATGTGGTTATCTCCACGCACTCATGAGCTGAACAACCAAGCATCTGAACTTCGTTTTCTCAGAATGCTCAGAAAACACCTCCTTTGATGTGGTTGGATGCTCACTAACAAAATACCCTGTTCGGTAGCGTCACTCAAAAGGCTCATACCTACTATCATCTGCCTCTACTGATACCAATTCTTTAAGCTTTGTCAAAAGGAGTTATAACTTTCCTAAGTGCTCTGTAACCAAAGAAGTTAACTTAGATAGCCGTTGCAATACACGGACTGATTTGCTATTTGTGCGTCGGTGGCACTGTGGTTAGGACTCTCGCCGACCATGCACATGTTGCGGGGTTCGAGCCCGCCCCGACGCACACCTGATATCTATGGTTGGCCTGCAAAATTTTGGCTACCGATATCCATGCTGAAAATTCCATACTTGTACCGTAAGTACAGTATGGAATCAAGCTGTAAATAAAAAATTAAAAAAATTAATTGTAGGAATAAAGCTGTTATTATTAATCACTCAACATCAGATCCGGACCCTCACTGTCTTGGTCGATCTGTTAGGCAGAAAGCTCACGGCCAAGCATCCAAGCAATTTGACAGGCCGTCGCGTTATGTTCGCTACTATAACCCATAAGACACCCCACTGTAAAAATCTCCATCGGTCACAAATGATACGTAGACGCAAGCCTAATGTAAGTGTATGGCTCGCCGTCTGCGTACGCGATGGTGACGCGAAGGCAGAATACTCGTCAGATACTCAGGTTATCCGGGGTTGAGTCACCGCCGACGCACACCTGAACCTCACTTATCAGGTAAGAAGCCTGGCAAAGAGTGGGATTTGGACGTGAGACTAGCAAACGCACCCCGAAAAATAAAACCACTGCTACCAAAACTTCAAAGCTCTATGCTAGAGCTGTATGTTCCGCTCGGAAGGCAAACGAATAAAATAAATACAGAAGTCATCTACGCAACACACATCCACACAAGCGAATAAGCTAGAAAATGAAGACATTCTTCCATTAATACATGATGTCTACTGACTGACTACGATACACTTCAGCTTTGTGGGAGGATTATTCAACGAATTTCCGTGGAAAAGATAAAGTGTTAAATAATAATAATAATTGCTTTATTCCAAAAACAGTACTCATGATACAGCAAGGAATTTTCAGCATTCAGTACAATATTGCATCTAATTTACCCAAAAACGACAAAAAAATTAAAAATACACAATACATAATAGTAATAAAACGATTGTTGTAGCAGCTACGTAGCAAAATACTGTGTGCCATACGGAGAAAAATATGTATAAAGTACAAAATTGTAGTAATAATAGTAATACCAACTAATATAAAATAGCAGAGTAACGATTTAAACGATAGAAAGTGTAACACCATAAAATACAGAAAGATGAACGATAAAAGGGTCGATTCACTGTGCTAATTACATAGTAACTTGTAAGTTTCACGTCTAACAGAGTCTTCGTCACATAAAGTACGGGCTAAATAGGGTATTGTAGAATTTCTATACTTAGTAGTACGAGCATATATCTTTTTATATTGACTTCTCGTCCTACCTGATGAGATACAAGGGGACAGGTGTGAATAAAGGGGGTGCAGAGGGTCTGACATTATAGCCTTTGCCCATTTCGTACAGGAATTTATATGCCTCTCGACTATAGTATTAGCGAGCTCATGCAGTGGCAGACCACAAGCTCTACTCACAGCATTTAATACTCTTCGTAATATGATATAATCTTTTTTGAGAAGCCCAGGAAAGATTAATGGAGAGAAATAGAATACAATAGGTAAAATACAGGAGTTTAAAAATTTCAAAACTAAAGGTTGGTTGATACCTGATTGTCTTAACTTTTTAATGTAGAAGGTAAG